TTTGCCCATATGAAAGTAAAAGTGCTTGTTGATATTTTATAGGAATTGTATTGAAATTTAACTTAGAATTGATATCTTTATATTTTGTGTCAACCTATCCAAGGATAGGTAACATCTTTGAATTTGATCTAGTATTTGTGATTTTTAAGAGTTTTCAAAAGATTTCCTCATATAGGTTTTCAAAATTTTTAAGTTTTGCTCACACAGGTTTTATACATTTCTTGTTAAAGTTATTCCTACTTAATATTTATTGTTATTTTAATTGGTTGCTCTCTTTTATTATGTCTTCTACATAGTTATTATTAGAGTATATGAAGGCTGCTTTGTATAATTTTTTATCCTATTTTCTAAATTCTTTTATTGTTTGAATTACTTTTATCATTGATTCTCTAGAATTTTCCAGGTATGTTGGCACATCATCTACAAATAGTTATTTTACTTCTGTAAGAATTTGTATGCTTTTAATTGATTTCTCTTATCTAATTGTATTAGCTGATATCTCTAGTATGTAGTAGTAATAGTAGTAAGGATAGTAGTAATAGATATTGGGCATTTTTGCTTTGTTTGTGATCTTAGGGGAAATGCCTCTAGTGTTGCTTCAATAGGATACTGGTTTCAGAACTATGGTGTGTGTGTATGTGTGTGTGTGTGTGTGTGTGTGTGTGTGTGTGTGTGTGTGTGTATTTATGTAAGAAATACATAATTATTGAATATTTTTGTCATGATTGGGTATTGAATTTTGTCACAGCATTTTCCAGTATTCCTGAAGATTATCATAGTTTTTTTTTCCTCCTCCTTCATCTATTAGCATGGTACATTATATTAATAGGTTTCCTAATATTGAATCAATCTTATGGAATAAATTTAATTTGGTCATCTTATTTTATTATATGATGTTGGATTCTATTTGCTAATATTTGATATAGTATACTTTTGCATTGTTATTTACAAATAATATTGGCCTATTGTTTTCTTGCATTGTGTGGTTTTTTGCATTATTTTTATTCAAGTTTTCTATCAGTTTTGGTATCAGACTTGCCTCATGAAAAAGAATTATGAAGCATTTTTTGTTTTCATTGCTTTGCAATAATTTAGGGAGGCTTGGGACTGCTAGAAGTTTTTATATGATTATTGTATGAAACCATGTTGAATGGTGCCTTTCAATGGGTTAGTTTCCTGATCACTTTGTCTACTTTATTTTTTCAGAAATTAGTCTCTCTAAGCTTTCTATCTTGAATGGGGTCAATTTTGGTAATCTGTATTTCCTTAGAAAATTATTTGTTGCATCTGGATTTTCAAATACATTTTTATAGAGATTTGTGAATTAGTTTCTTAGGAATTTTAAGTATTCCTTCTATTTCAATGGTTATTCCTTCCTTGTCATTTGCTATTTTATAAATTTTACTTTATCTCTATTTTTTATTGATTAGGTTAGCTAGTGGTTTATCTATTTTTTAAATTGGTTAAAAATCAGTTAGATCTAGACCTAGGCCTAGGTCTATGGCTTTTTTTTTAAAGTAATGTACCTTATTAATCTCTTCTTTTAATTTTACATTTCCTTCTTCCTGCTTTCTTTTGTTTTCTTTTGTACTTTTTCTGATTTTGTTGTTGAACTAGGAATTTGTTGACTTTTATATTTTTTTTTTAATTTTTTTTTCAACGTTTATTTATTTTTGGGACAGAGAGAGACAGAGCATGAACGGGGGAGGGGCAGAGAGAGAGGGAGACACAGAATCGGAAACAGGCTCCAGGCTCCGAGCCATCAGCCCAGAGCCTGACGCGGGGCTCGAACTCACGGACCGCGAGATCGTGACCTGGCTGAAGTCGGACGCTCAACCGACTGCGCCACCCAGGCGCCCCATATTGATAAATAAAATACTGTATTCTTAGTGTAGAACTATGAACTTAGTACTGTGAGTTTTCCTGTGGTTTTTATTTTAAATATAACCCATAGATTATGATATGTAGAGATTTTGTTTTTATTTGTTAGAAATGTAATTTGCATGGTTTCCTTCTTTTGCCCAGGTGGAAGTGCTTTCTGTTTTTTTTATTTTTTAAAATAATTTCTAGTCTTATTGCACATCAATCTAACATGTTATTTATAACACATATACTTCATGGAACTCACTGATGTTTTCTTGGTGTGCTAATATATGATCAATACAAACTAGATGTGTTCTGTATTACAAAGGTAAAGTGTTTGAAATATATTCATAAAAAGTTGCCCTCATTGCTTATGTTCATTAGGTCTTCTTTATTCTTATTTATTACCCTCCTCAACATTTGATCTGTGTTTTAATGAGAATGGTTTATTAAAGTCTACTAATTATTAGTACACTTCTTTCTGTGTCTCCTTGTATCTCTTATATTTGCTTCATAAAAATGGTTGCTTATTATTTGGTGTGTAAATACTCATAGTAAATATGACTGGTAATGTTATATTTACTATGATTGTTGTTTTTAGCATTAAATTTTACTCTTTTTGTTATATTTAATGCAAAATAGCCCTCACTGCTTTCTTCTTGCTCCATTTTTCTAGGATATTTTTTGCCCATCCCTTTAGTTTTAGTCTTTTAGAATCACTTGGTTTTAGGTATGATTTTTATGTACCACACTGAGTTGTAATTGTGTTTTACTTTCTGAACCAAATTGAAGTCTTTCTTTTAATAGATGATTTAATCCCATCACATTTATTGATATAACTAAAATGTTCCATTTCAATTCTTAAATTATTTTATAATTATGTGTATTGTGTATTTACTATGTTTCTTTGTCTACCTTTAAGAGTACTCTTTGGAGTTTTACTTTTAAATTTAGACAGGTGTGTATTTTGTTCTAGCACATACCTGTGTACTTTTTATTATCTGGCTTGTAAACATTTTTTTAAAGATTTTATTTTTCAGTAGTCTCTACACCCAACGTGGGGCTCAAACTCACAATTCCGAGATCAAGAGTCATATGCTCTTCCAACTGAGCCAGCCAGGCACCCCTGGTTTGTCAAGATTTTAATGGTATCCTGTAGCACCTACCTATTGCCTGACCAACAGTCACTGACATTGAGCTTACTTTAGTTTTCTTTTTCCCTCTCCTTTTCCCTCCATTTAAAAAGTGCATTAGTTCTGTTTGTCTCAATGCATAACATTTATACATTAATTTTCCACCCTTGTCCCTACCCTTGTAGGATTTAGAGATGAAAAATAATATAATCTACATTTTTATTTATTCATATTCTTACCATCAGTCTTAGTGCTGAAGTACTCTTAGTCCTCTCTTGGTTGGATTACACTTACCTGCTAATAGATTTCTTGAGGGCTAATATCGTATGGAATTCCCTAAGTTCTTGTATGTGTAAAACTGCTTTTCTATAACCTTAATAGTTAAAGCACATCTTGACTAGATATAGACTTTTGGCCCACCTTTTCTTTTATTAAGTTTAAGGAAAATGATTTCTTTGCTGTGCATGCTGTTTTTGAGAATTCTGATGGTAATATAATTCTTTTTTTTTCCTTCTAAATATGTAGACCTTGAGATTTTTATATCTTTGAAGTTGGATAGTTTTAATAGGCTAATTAATTAACTATTGCTGTGAAATAAATTACTTTAAGAGCTTAGTGACTTAGGGGCACCTGGCTGGCTTAGGAGATCATGTCACTCTTGATCTTGGGGTTGTGAGTTCAAGCCCCACATTGGGTGTAGAGAGTCCTTAAATAAAAACACTTGAAAAATATGTTTTAAAAGAAGAACTCTGTGGCTTAAAAGCAACAGAAATAATTATTAACTCAAAGTTTCTATGAGTCATAAACTTGGGAGCATCTTTGTTGGTGGTCTGGTTTGAGGTTGTAGTAAAGCTGTTGGCTGGGACTATAATTATCTGAAGGGTTGAGTTGCATCTGCTTTTAAGATGACACACACATACTGCCAAGCTGGTGCTCAATTCTCCATGTGACCTTCTCCATAGAGCTGTTGTTGTCCTTATGCCATGATGGTTGGCTTTCTCTAGACTAAGTGACATAAGAGAGCAAAATGGAAGCTGCAACATCTTTTAGGAGCTAGCCTTGGTATTTTAGTTGTTTTGGGTGAGTGGCTAACTTGGTCCCTCTTACACCAGTCTTGTTGGAAACAGAAGTCTCTTGACCATTATTTCTTTCATAGTGTTTATGCTTCATGCTGTATTTTTTCTTTTCATGGTACTTCAATTATGTATATGTTTGGCATTTTAGGGTGTAGAATCTATTATTTTACGCTGAAGAACATTGATATTTTATCAGTTAGTTAGCTTGGCTGAACTCAAACTCTAAACTTTGTCTTCCTATAGTGGACAGTAACTTAAATCTCTGTTCAGTTTAGACTTTTAACTGGCTGCTTAGAGTCATCCCATACTTGCATGGATTAGAGGTCAGCTAGATATTTGAACAGATTTATATGGAGAATTTTGGGTTTTCCTTCTCTGGATCTCATTTCTGGACTTTCTCCATTCATTTTATACCTCCTGTAATTATTCTGAGCTCTTTTTCAAATTCTGTCAATTAATAAACTCCAGGCTTTTATCCAAGTTTTTAGTTACCCTCTTTCAGTTGTTTCTCCTTTCTTTTGGTCACTCTCCCTTTCCTTCAACTATTTTGTCTAGAGTTAATATTACATAGGAGGATTTGTTTCAATGAAAGTTTTATGCCACTATTTTAAAAAAGTTTCTGCTTCATCTGTTTTAGTGAGGCCTTCCCTAATTTTGCTATCTGAAAATTGCAGAACCAGCCATCCCCTCCTGGTGCTTTGTTTTTGTCCACAACTCTTATCATCAGTTGATATGGAATGCATTCTAACATTTGTTTTCTGTTTTCTCCAACTAAAATGTAAGCTCTTAGAAAGCAGATGTATTTCTCTCTTGTTCAGTGCTATTTCTTCACTTCCTAGGACAGATCAGTTTAGTGGTTAATAAATATTTCTGTATGCATGAATGAATCAATGCATTAATTTATTTCTTTTTCTATATCCTTGTTTAGTGCCCGAAAGGCCGTGGATGAGGAAGAGGAAGCAGTTGAAGAACGTCGGAATATGCGAAATATTTGGGTGACTGGCAGAAAAGGTTTAACTGAAAGGGAAGCAGCAGCCCTTATAGTAGAAGAAGCCAAAAGGATTCTGCAGCAGGATTTAGCTGAAATGGGAGTGCAATGGAATCCATATTCCCTTTTAAATTCTAATACACACTCATTGACCAGCAGTGAGCCAGAAGTAAAGGAACAGAAACTTACACCCCAAACTAAGAGATCTTGTAAAAGATTAATATCAAAGAAAAAAAGTAACTCAGTGTTTAATGATTCTTTTGCTAAGCATTCACCAACTACAGTGCAAGATTTAGTTAAATGTGGAGAGAATAGAAATTCCTTTTATTACAAGTTACAGAATGGGAATCAAGAATCCCAAGTACATTCCATTTCCAGAGCAAGAAAACGGGCTTCTTTGAACAGAAGTAAAGAAAAGCTAGTAACCTCTCTGAATGAGGGGGAAAAAAGCACTAAGAATGTTGTTCAAACTCTCTTATTTGAGAAAACAAAAAAAGGATCTTTGAGTTTCAGTTCAGAAAAGATGAGTACTGCCTCTCGATCTTGGAAACGTGGTAAGCATCTAACACAATCCAGAGATAGTAGCCCTGTGAAAGACACTGGGATGTATAGAATTGATTTACAGGAACAAACTATGTCTAATCCTGTTTATTGTGAAGACTCAATTACCTTAGATGAGAAGAATATGGAATTTAGAAGTCCAGAGCCTTTTGCTAAAAATGTATCTTACTGTGCTGAGGGAAAATACAGCAAAGCATCATTCTCATCACAAACAGAACAAAGTTCAAAGAACAAAACAAAAACTAACAATATTCTTGTGGAACATTTTATCACAGAATCCCAGAGTAAAAAAGTGACTTGTCATCCCACTAGTACAGTTAGTGAAAATGGAAGAGCACTAGCTTTTGTTGAGTCAGAAAAAATAAACAAAGTACTGATGATACAAAGTGATTCAAAAACCCAGAATGTTTATGTAAAACACCATGACACCCATTCAATTAACCAGTGTGCAGAAAAACAATCTGATAAACAAACAAACACTTATACCAAACAGAAAAAAATATTAGAGAGACAAATGCCCTGTGAAACAGGCAGTAGTTATATGAATAAAGACTCAAATGGTATTATCAAGTGTGGAATTATGAAGTTTAATGGTGAGGAAAATAAATCAAATAATTTTCAGGTATCAGGAGATAATATAAACAGCACTGAGATACTCAGTAGAATATATCCCCCAACTGGAGCATTTGGTAAATCAGGAGGCCAGCATGAGGATTTTCTAAATCCCTCTAAAATACAAGAAAAAACGGAAGCTTATGCAGCAAACAAAACTAAAAATAATTGTGTTTCTGACTTAGGTTTAGTTCTTTGTGAATTTGAAGATAGTTTGTACCTGGATACTCAGTCAGAGAAAATTATACAACAGATGGCAACTGAAAATGCCAAACAAGAAGGAGCAAAGGATGCCAACCTGGCAACAGAGACAATGCCGAAGAGTTTAGACAAACAGAGCTCGGTGATCTCTTTTCAGAATGAGATTCATATTACTTTTCCTGGTGAACGACATTCTCCAGGAGTGACAAATATAGATCATTTGGAGGATAAGACTGTAGATACTGTGAAACAAAGCACCAGTTCACATGGAGTTGATGTCCTGACTCCAGAAAGCTCAATTTTTCATTCTCCAATACTCTTGAGGGAAAATGGCCCTTGTTTTAAAAGGAATGAACTTTCTGTCACTGACTCTCAATTAAATAGTTTTCTTCAAGGTTATCAAACACAAGAAGCTTTGAAACCAGTTATACTACCGCCTCCCACTGGTGTAGAAGTAGAATGTCTACCAGCTCCTGAAACAAGTTTGAATTTGAGTGATAGCTTACTATTTGACAGTTTCAGTGAAGATTACCTAGTAAAAGAACAACCACCTGATACACAAGCAAAAGAACCCCTTTCTTCTGAACTAATGTCAAACTGTTTCAGTCATTCTCTGTGTCTACAACCAGAGGGCCAACTTAGAAAATCAAATATGAATGAGAATCAAGATAATCAGCAACAGTTGACTTGTTTCAGTGAGGAGTCTCTTATATTTTCAGAGTTGGATTCTGCTCAGATGGTTGAAGCTTTGGACAATGTAGATATATTTCCTGTCCAAGAGAAACATAATACCACAGTGTCTCTTACAGCATTAGAACTAAGTGATCCAGGGACTGTCAATAATGATTATTCACAAAGAGAAATAATTGGAAGAGATAAAGATGAAAAGTCTAAAAAATCCAAATTAACTGAGATAGGGCAAAATAAATCGCTCATATGGTCAGGGGCATCGTTTGATTTAAGTCCAGGATTGCAAAGAATTTTAGATGAAGTGTCCAGTCCTCTAGAAAATGAAAAGCAAAAATTAGCCACTACAAACTTGTCTAGTTTAAAAGGGGAAAATATGGAGTTAAATGGCAAACAAGTGATTTCAAATTTGGAGCCAAATCAAGTTCCGGGAATTTCATTTTTCCCTAATGTTGAAATAAAGAGCAAGATTGGAGCACTGGAGAACGGTGCCCTTCATGGTGAAACCTCATCCCTCTTGCCTTGGAAAGACAGCTGTATAGTTGATGATAACGGACTCATTCCTCCTACACCCATCCCAGCATCTGCTTCTAAGCTAGTGGTTCCAAGTATTCTTGGAACATCTTCTGTAAAACTCCAGAAAATGCATAGTGTTTTACAGCTTGGTAAAAGTTACTCATTTGGCTCATCTTCAGATATTAAAAACCAAGATTTAAGTTCAGAGAGTAGAGAGGGTTTAAAAAAGGATAGACCTATTAGAGACACAAGTTTTTCACTGCAATTGTCACAGGATGGATCACAGTTAACTGCAGCCTCATGCAGCCCAGAAAGCTTGGCCATAATTGATGTAGCAAGTGACCAAATTCTCTTTCAAACATTCATTAAGGAGTGGCAGTGCAAAAAGAGATTTTCCATCTCACTGGCTTGTGAAAAGATCAGTAATTTGAGGTCTTCTAAAAATGCTGCTATTGGTGGTAGGTTTAAGCAAGGTAAGAATTTTTTCTTTAATTTTTCATATTTTCATGTTTATATGTAAAATAGTGAATTGGGATGAATGTACTAAATTTATTCCAATTTAATTAAAATTTCTTCTATATGGGTTTACCTGTAGAACAGCTTATTGTTCAGTGCAACTAGATTAATAATAGTTGCCATCTGGTATAAGTGATGGGCGACTCCAGGGTGTGAGAACTGAGCACTGAGAAAAAAGGTCAAGCTGGGATACTGAAATAATGCAGACCTCTAAGGCACTACTTATTACTGTGGCCCTGATCCGCTGTTATAGCTCTGGTCTAATCAGGCCTGTGTCTGCCTCTTTTCTTCAAAAGCCAGAAATCCCTAAACAGCCTTGCCACAGTAGCTCCCCACAGTAGGTGGTCCAAAGGGAGTTCTATAGCAGTCTTGTCTCTCAGGACATGGACATAGTAGCCAAGCTTATTGCTGCTGCAGCCATCCCAGTTGTTGTGGCTGGTACATGGGCCAGCAATGGGATAGTTTTTGGCAGCTTGATCATTGGGTATATCAGGAACCTGGCTCTCAAACAGCAGCATTTCTTCAGTTCTATTCTGGGTTTTGCCATGTGTCAGGCCATGGTGCTAATTGTTGCCTTTCTTATTCTTTTCACTTTACGAGGCTTCATGGAGGTCATCTACCTGTCTCTGCTGCTTCAACTCCAGCCCATATCTGGTGCTGGAGTGTGCTAAGCTTTACCATTAAACGCAAAGTTTCTTTTAAAAAATCATATAAATTTGTATATTTAATACATAATATAATATTTTATATAATATATAAATGTTAGAATATAAGTTTGTAAAAACGAATATATTTTGAATATGGATCACCATTTTTGGTATCTCATTTTTTATTAATCATCAGTGCTTATGAATTATTTTCTATTTAATTAATTAAAATAATTAACTTGTATTATATAATCTACTTAGATAATCACAAAAGTACATAGAAAATTGGCACTATATTTTTAACAATGTATGTTAACTATATTTTTCAATACTTACCTCAAGTAGACTTATAACCTTTACTGATATTCATGAATTCTATACCAAAATGTTGACCCCAAATCCTCACAGAGCCCTTCCACATTTCAAGAGAATTGAACCAAATAATGCCATGCATGTATATTCCTGTCTTACTTCATGACAGTAAGGATTCTGTATCTTGGGGAATAGCTGTAGTCAGCTTGACGACCTGCTGTAGAAATCAAAGATTTGATCAGATTTCTTAAATCTCTGTATTTATGAATGAATTTGTTCATAAAACTTTGAGTATTTGTCTGATCTTCAATTCATGGAACACATGTTTTTCTTTTTAATTTTTTTTATTTGAGTATAATTGACAATCAATGTTATATTAGTTTTAGGTGTACAACATAATGATATGAGAAGTTTATACATTATACTATGTTCACCATGAGTATAGCTACCATCTGTCCCCATACATTGCTATTACAATATCATTGACTATATATATTCTTTATGCTGTGCCTTTTATTCCCATGACTTATTCATTACATAACTAGAAGCCTGTATCTCCCATTCTCTTTAGCCATTTTGCCCAACCCCCCACCTCCCCTTCCTTCTAGTAACCATCAGTTTGTTCTCTGTATTTATAGGTCTGATTCTGCTTGTTTGTTTATTCATTTATGTGTTTTTGTTTTAGATTCTATTTATGAAATCATATGGTATTTGCCTTTCTCAGTCTGACTTATTTCACTTAATGTAATACCCTGTAGGTCCATCCATGTTTCAAATGGCAAGTTCTCATCCCTTTTTATGGCACCATAATATTTCATTGTATAGTATACCACATCTTCCTATTCATTTGTCTGTAGATGAACACTTAGGTCATGGAGCAAATGTGTTAATGACAAGTTTTATATATGTTTTGTGTTGACTAGTACTTTCCATTTTTCATTAAACAAATATAAAATTGAGCACATTCTTTGAGAGGTTAGAGGGGTAAAATTGTTCACTTAAATTTAACAACTGTGTGCCAGTTATTAGACTGGTTCTTGACCTGTATTTGTAAAGTTGGAGATCCATTATTTCAGAAAAAATGTTGACTCTGGATACAAAATTATACCTGATTCTTCACCAAGAAGTAAGGTACTTGATTTTTTTTGAAGTTTCTTAGTGTTAAGAATTTCTGAGTTCAGGAGTGCCTATGTTGGCTCAGTCAGTTGAGTGTCTGACTTCGGCTCAGGTCATGATCTCACACCTCATGGGTTTGAGCCCTGTGTTGGGCTCTGTGCTGACGTCTCAGAGCCTGGAGCCCGCTGCAGATTCTGTGTCTCTGTCTCTGTCTCTCAAAAATAAACATTTAAAAAGAAAAAAAGAATTGCTGAGTTCACTACAAAATTTTTATAGTATACCAGTGGTCTTTATTTGTTTCAGTTATAGCAATTCAAAATGTAGCTTTAAAAAATTTAGTTAATACCCACTTTAGTTATTATTATAGATATATTTTAAGATATCTTTGATAAATTTTTCAAAGTGACAGTTATCTTAATTGATGGGAAGCCTAGAAAGATCTTACATATACCTTAAAAAGACCATCCAAATAATGCATATTATGGGGATCTGGAAATTTTGCCAATCAAATAGTTTTTTTTATCATTATCATTGTTTTAACATTCAGTTTAATGGCTTTATTTTGAGATTTTTAACTATTTCACTTTTGATTTATTTAGTTAGCCTACCTCAGGAAACCCCTATTAGAGATGATGGAGTTCCTGTTAAAGGTTGTGATGACATCTTGGTGGTTGGTCTGGCAGTGTGCTGGGGTGGAAGAGATGCCTATTATTTTTCACTGCAGAAGGAACAAAAGCATCCTGGTAAGTAATCACTATTTGATTAAGTCACCATATAATTTTTAAGATAATCTCTATTAGGATAGTGCCTTTTTTGTTGAGAATAATTTCCTGATATTTACCTAGAATTTATTTTTAGGATTAAAAAAATGGGGGGGGGGGAAGTGGCACATGTGTACATTATTTCATATATTCATTAGAATGAATGTCTTAAGTACTATTCTTACTCCCCTCTACCTATCATGTAGGCTACTAATACTATCTTTTCTTCTTGGAGGTAGTGGAGTGGAGCCTTAGAGACTCCCTGGATATCTTAGGGGATTGCTCTGAAGATTGGATCATACCAGTTTCTTTTCAGACTTTTTTCCTGTCATTGACTGTGTCTGGAACTTATCTAGTGACACTGATAAGCTGAGCATATACAATAGTTGAATCATACAGCCTTTGTAGAAGTCTTTGGAATAGAGAGGATATGATCTAGAAATACCTTCTGATCTGATTACAGTTGCTGCATTACGTACCTGACATAATTGGTTTTAGACAGGAGCAAAATTAATAAGTAAACATTTTAAAGAATGCTATACAATGTATGTGTTCCTGAGTAAGCATGAAATTTTTTTCAGTTGTTTTGAGGGAAAATGTGTTATGTTGAGTACTTTTTTTTTTTAAGATGTAACACTATACGTTCATACTAAACCTTTTTTTTTTTTTTTTTTAATTTATTTTTGGGATAGAGAGAGACAGAGCATGAACGGGGGAGGGGCAGAGAGAGAGGGAGACACAGAATGGGAAACAGGCTCCAGGCTCTGAGCCATCAGCCCAGAGCCCGACGCGGGGCTCGAACTCACGGACCGCGAGATCGTGACCTGGCTGAAGTCGGACGCTTAACCGACTGCGCCACCCAGGCGCCCCCATACTAAACCTTTTTAAGGAGTTCATTTAAAATTCATTTTAAAACACCCTTTTCTGTCTTTAACTCCTTATTCTGGGAAATGTAAATTTATTTTTAGAAATCTTCATATTTAGAAGTCTCCCACCTAATTAAATAGAACAATATAAATTACATAGCATAAGCCTTAATTTTTAGAATATGAAGCTTCGTGCTTGCTTCGGCAGCATACACACCAGAATATGAAGCACTTCATCTATATGATCAACATAACCTGAATAAGGTCATGCTGAGTTATTGGTTACATGGAAGTAAACCCTTAGATTTCTGAGTCTTTTTTCAGTCTTTTTATTAAAGATTGCTGCTTCAAATGAATGCATGTAATTTTTGCCTTAAGCCTTTTTGTTTGTTTGTTTTTTAAAGAAATTAGTCCCAGTTTGGTCCCACCTTCTCTGGATCCAAGCCTGACTGTGAAAGACAGAATGTGGTATCTTCTGTCTTGCTTTCAAGAGGAATCTGATAAAGAACGTTCTATTATCATCTATGACTTCATCCAGAGCTATAAAATTCTTCTTCTGTCTTGTGGTATCTCCTTGGAACAAAGTTATGAAGATCCTAAGGTTTCATGTCTTATTTAATTTTTACTATACTTAAAAAAACTTTTTCAATGTGTAGTGTTAATTCTTAAATGACTTGGTATTTATTTAACTCCAACAATGAAGCTTACATTTTTCAGAGTAGTCATTCCTTTATCCAGTAATCTCATCCACCCAGAACAGAATGTTAGGCACCAAAATACCTCTATGTAGATAAAAACAGTGATTCCACAAATTCTAAGCACTAAAATTCATATCTTTCCTCAGAGATTTAAAAAAATCTTATTTTGGTTATGTTTTAAGTTTTCTGTCTCATAGTAAATTAGAAATGAAGTGAGAACTGTCAGATTTAAATATATGGTAGCAGGTTGTTTCAGATGTCCATGAGTATAGAGGCAGAAAATAGGAAAAATGTGTAGATAATAAGCCATCTAAAAGGACAACATTTAGGGCCATTTAGCATAGGGGCAAATCACCTTATTAGCCTCTGTGAACTTTGCTTATAATAATAGCAAAGCATGATATGCTTTTCATAATGATGACTCTGAGTTATCAAGGAAAGGGTAACTTACATTATTGTAACATAAACAGTATAATGCATTTTCATATGACATTTATTTACAGTATCATAGCTTTCAAAGGAATATCATTTTCCCCCTATTGATACTGAATACATGAGGTGTATAGAATATTAATTTTGAATTGATATATGATACTACTTGATTGTTATTAGCAATATAATCAATAATAGGATAAATCAATAGGATAAATTTCTTAGTTTCTTTAGCTTTTTTAGGGAAAGATTTTCAAAGGCAATATCAAATAAACTGAAGATACTGGCCTTTTCTGCAGTTCAGGCTGGGCTTGGTTTACATGTGATAAATTCCATGTAGTTTTTAAACTGACATTTCCTGGATATAAAAAGTTGTCACTTAATTTTGATGTTCCAGAGTCCAAAAGGAGAATATGGGTAATATGAGCTTCTCATTAAAACTACTGTAGCATCTCAGATGTATTGTAGTACTTTTTACATAAACTATTTGAAAGATTCCACAATCAGTTTTGTCGGTCACAACACTTTTGATGTAAGAAGATAAACTATTAATTTTTTTTTAATTTTTTTTTAACGTTTATTTATTTTTGAGACAGAGAGAGACAGCATGAGCAGAGGAGGGGGGAGAGAGAGAGACAGAGACACAGAATCTGAAGCAGGCTCCGGGCTCTGAGCTGTCAGCGCAGAGCCCGACGTGGGGCTCGAACTCACGAGCTGTGAGATCGCGACCTGAGCTGAAGTCGGTCGCCCAACCGACCGAGCCACCCAGGCGCCCTAAACTATTAATTTTAAGAAGCTCACTTTTATAAGAAACATTTGCCAACTTTTACATCAAACTACCGTATTTGATATTCTCTAAAAGGTTTCTGTTCACCAGTTTCTAATGTGGATGGCAGGATATGAAAATGTCTCCCAGCTTTGCAGGCTTACCAGGTTCCAAAAGTAAGAGTGGTGTCAGCAATATATGGCTTCACCCTTTCAGGTATTTGACATAATCAAACTAAAAGACAATATCATTTCTTGCTTAGAGCGGCTTTTAAGATGTTAATATTGGGGGCGCCTGGGTGGCGCAGTCGGTTGAGCGTCCGACTTCAGCCAGGTCACGATCTCGCGGTCCGTGAGTTCCAGCCCCGCGTCGGGCTCTGGGCTGATGGCTCGGAGCCTGGAGCCTGTTTCCGATTCTGTGTCTCCCTCTCTCTCTGCCCCTCCCCCGTTCATGCTCTGTCTCTCTCTGTCCCAAAAATAAATAAATGTTGAAAAAAAAATTAAAAAAAAAAAAAAGATGTTAATATTGGATTTTCCTCCTTACAAAGCCCATTTATTCATTTACTTAGCCATAACTACTATTTTTCCTTCAATGCTTTAACCTTTATGTTACAATTCCTAAGGGCCTGATGGGGCAGGATGTGCCTTCACCCCTTTTGGAATAGTTACAGTTTCTTGCTTAGGAATCATTCATTTCCAGCCCTTATACCCGTAGTCCTGGTCCTGTGACCCCTATTATCAGCTAAGAGGAAAAAAGTTGAGGTGATGTGGGAAAGAAAGTATGTTAGCACCTTCCCCCTGCCCCCCACCTTAGTTCCTCAGATCCAAATGGACAAATATATCCAGTGGGGACTCCTTTAGCCCCACTCATGTTCATGTTGAGTGTGAGCATATACTCACATACCATGAAGGCATAAAAGCCATCTCTTCCTGCCTTTCTCTTCCCCCATTTACGACAACCAATGTTTTAATTGCCTATTTCAGTTCTCTATCAAACTAGTACTGAGGAGGATATCTCTTTGCCCATCATTGAACATTATGGGCTGTAAAGTGTGTTCTTTAGTCTGAAGAAATAACAGTCAACCATTCAAACTGGTGCAATTTCTTCTTCTGTTCTTTTAATAGTACCGAGAGCATTTGCCCCTACAATCAGGTAAGCAAAGCACAGTCCAGAGTCAATGTCTGTTCCTATTGGACCCATTTGTAGCCCTCCAAGGCTACTAGCATTAATTTCACCTGCCAGCTATATTCATAACCTTCCTAACAGGGAATCTGCTATATAACCATCTGCAGTCTCGGTCCCTCTTGTTGGCAGATAGAATAGTTTGTTTTGGCACTCTGTGCCTCAGAGGGTGCAAGAGGGATATGTCTAGATTCAGCCCATCTCTGCATTGCTGCAGTGAACCAGGCCCACTCATGTCACAGATCCAGGTGTCCATCTTCCAGGGTCATACAGGGACATTGGCTTGATGATTCTAGTCACCTTCCTAGCCTAGAAGGGAATTCTTCTGAAAGGCATTAATGTGTCCTATTTTGATGCACCCCTTCAAATTTCTACAAGGACTGTGTCCCAGAAGAGGACCCTTCTTTAGTAGGCCATGTGTCCATTGCCTTCCTGACTGACATTTTGGCAAAGTTATTGGGCATTATTTATGAGCCAGTGAAAACCCAAACAGAGCTTTTCCCTAGCTCTGTTCAATTCTTTCATCACTGCTAGGAAAACAACATGCAATTCAGCACACCAGGATGATCTTTTCTATCTTCTTTAATTAGAATGATGGCCTTCCAAAGCAGGATATTGTCCATTCACTTCGGAACTGCCATCCACAAACCTAGCAGCTCCTTATCAGTCAGTCAAGGACTGTTTCTAGAGCACTGTCCAAGTGACAGTGGAATCCAGCAGCTCCTCCTCACACAATTCCAGAGTCAAGCCGAGGAGAAAAGAGGCTCCCTGCTCTTGAGTATCTCTTCTTTTCATTCCCCAGGCAGCAGGATCCTGTATAAACTGTTTCCATTTTATTATGGAACTCTACTGGGCACTGCCATCTCCATTAGAGCAGTTCTCGGATATCACCCAACACTTTGTGGGTATTTCAGGTTTCAGGATTGTATTATATCCTTTAGTAATAGAAATAGCGTCAATTAATAATGTCAGATAAGAAGGCAATAAATACCCTCAAATGGAAATTATCTTGTTTAAAGTCCCAGTAGTCATTGTCATGAGATGCTCACAAGCTCTGCCATTAGCCCCAGTCTCCACATAGGGCAATTGCACAGTTTGTCTTTACCAGCACTTGAGCTTTATTCCACACTGTGCGGGATTAGGCAATCTTACTGGTTCGCACTGAGCATGTCTATTTAACATTGCTTGAAGAGTGAATTTAGATGCCTTCTGTTTTACAATACTCATTATGGGACATGTTCCCCTGTTTGACATAATGTCCATTCCCAAAATGCAATCAGGTAAGGACCCAACCACCTCATCTAAAGCCATTTCAAACATACCAGTTCTCCTACAGACTTTTTCCTTAATTCCATCAACCCTTACATTTCTAATCATAACCTCCATTAGGACTTCATCAAAAGGCTTTGGTTTTACAAAACTAGGTAGGGAAAGTGTTCCCCAACCAGGCATAACAACTCATTACCATAAAATATTCAGGTAAAGGAGGTACAACTTCTTCACATAATTAAACATTCCAATTTACATAAGCCTATCAACGATTACATTTTTACATTTCTCTTAATCTAAGTGTAGCCCAAATCAGGGCTTTACCAATGGGTTTGGGTACCAGAGTTCCTGGATCTTCCATCAAAGAGTTCTGGAAACTTCTCTTTTCCACCTCCTGACAGTTTTACCTACGCTTGTCCTAAAGGCTTTGAGTCCCGAGGGACGGGTTGAACCAAGGTACCCCGGCCCTTTTATTAACTTGATTAATCTGCCTAACCACTGGTCAGGTTTCTCATTGTACCTTTTGCCTTCAAGCTTTTAAAATTTCTCCAAATTATGGTGAATAGAGCAGTCTTGTTTGAGGCCCTTTAATGTTGGGGGACTAACAGAGGGGGGGTTGCTTTGACCCACCCAACCTTTGGTGGTGCTTTATTAAAACCTTTTATTTAGTCCATCATTACCCATTTTATTCATCACATTTCTTAATAACCATCTAAAGATTTCCAGCCTTCTGGGGTGAGTCCTGTAACTCTCCCCTTTCTGTTTCCTCTTTCTCTTGCTCCTGTCAATATTTGCTTTATTCCCCTTATTTGTTAATAACCTTTTAAAATTTTCCACCCTGTTGGGAAGTCTCTTGATTCTGGCCCTGCCTCTTCTCATTCTCTTGTTAATAAATCTCAAGTTTTTATTATCACCTGTAAGGTCTATGAGAGGAAGTGAGGTGGTAATTTTGATAAGGCTTCCCAAACTGTCCCTCAGTTTTGCAACAGTACAGTTATATGGTTAAAGGTCCCCCTTAAAGCATTTACTGTGACCTGGATAATCTACTGATTTCAGTGGGTAAATATCCCAGTTATCATAAAGCAGTCCCATATGGCTTGCATATGAAGAATATCAGCTCCTTTATCTGGGGTGTTCCACTTGGCATTTATAAGAGAAAAGGAACAGTCTCCCTCTCAGGGTAAACAGACCTTACAGTGGCTTTTATCCGGTGTACCAGGCCAGCTGTTTCCTTGGCAACAACCTCGCATGTGTCTGGATCACATACACTCAACTATGATTATACTATAGTGAGCTGTGGGGTCTTGCATCAACCCTCTGCCTTTCGTTCTACAGCATCCAAGACCAGACCCTCCTCCTAAATTACTCTCCTAATCCATTTTAGTAAAGGTTCCTCACGAGGCTGATGATAGTAGGTAGGGTGCCTTAGTTGGTTAAGTGTCTGACTTCAATTTAGGCCATGATCTCATGGTTTGTGAGTTCAAACCCTGCGAAGGGCTCTGCACTGACAGTGCTGAACCTGCTTGGATTCTCTCTCTCTCTCTCTCTCCCTCCCTCCCTCCCTCTCCCCCTTTCTCTCCCTCTCTCCCTCTCTCTTCCTCTCTCTCTCTGCCCCTCCCCCACTCACTCTGTCTCTCAAAATAAATAAATAAACTTAAAAAAAAAAAAGGCTGATTATTCTTCACATTGTATCCCCTAGTTTTGGTAGTTTGTAGGTATTGCCCTCCTACATTGATTACCTTAATGATGACCAGAGGTCTTAGGGCTACTTTGTGTTGCCCCTGTACAGATGACTTTGAGGCTACTGGCTAGAGCTCAGACTGACCCAAATCTGAACTTGGTTTAGCATCAGGGTGAGACCCAGCACTTTACTTTATTTAGCTATTACAGATAACAGTAACCAGGAGATTGTATGTTTAGTGTGATTATTATTTTTTATTTCCTTATATATCTAATGAGCCAACTCCTTGGGGGTTAGGTCTACCATTTCTAAATTGCATTGGTAGCTTTTACCTTTAGTAACTATAGTGTAACTGCAGTTTCACATCATGGGTCACTAGGTAGCATCCAGCTATCAAAGGATCATAATCTCCACCCTTTTATCTTTTCTCTTCATAAACCATATGTTTCTGTGAGCCAGGCCCTTCTAGCAAGTTCTGCTTCTCTGACACCAAAAAAAACAAAAAAAACCAAAAAACTGTTCTGAGACCAATTCTTTTTTTTTAATTTTTTTTTAATGTTTACTGATTTTTGAGAGAGTGAGAGAGAGAGCAAGCAGGAGAGGAGCAGAGAGGGAGACACAGAATCCAAAGCAGGCTCTAGGCTCTGAGCTGTCAGCAGAGCCCAATGCAGGGCTTGAACTCACAAACTGAAAGATCATGACCTGAGCCGAAGTCAGAGGCTTAACAGACTGAGTCACCCAAGCGCCCCTACTGAGACCAGTTCTGATGTGTTTGTAGGGTTTTCCCCCACACCATCAAGCAATGCTGGAAACACCAGCTGGGTATTCTACAACTCAATTCTGACAGTATCTACCTGGAAATAGCATCAAATTCCACAGGTTAAGGGTCAGTGCCACAGACTGCCCACTATCTTGAGGCCAGTTGCAAGCCCTAATTAACACATATGCTCCTGACCAACTGACTACAGACTGGAGATTCCAAGGACCCCCCCTTTCCGAGGACATCTGGCAAGGACTTCAGGTGCCAGTTGTAAATCCAGGTTGTTACCTGTAGTCTGACCAACTGGCTGTAAATGAGAGGTTCCTGTGACCTGCACCCTCTTCAGATTCAATAAATTAAGTAGAGTGACTCACAAAACTCAGGGAAACATTTAGTTACATTTATCAGTTTATTATAAAAGGATATGATAAATGATACAGATGAACATCCAGACGGAAGAGAGATGCAGGGTAAGGTATGTGGGAAGGGAAAGGGAGCTTCCATCCTCTGTCCGAGCACACCACTCTCACCAACACCTCCAAGTTCCACAACTTCCAAGCTCTCCAAATCCTGTCATTTGGGGATTTTATGGAGACTTCATTACATAGGCACGATTGATTAAATCATTAGCCATTGGCCTTCCAGGCGCCTCCCAGCTGGTCAGGGGTGAGACTGAAAGTACTCACCCTCCAATCACAGAGTTTCCTTTGGCAGCCAGCTCCCATCCTTAGGTAACCTAGGGGCATTCCGAAAGTCACCTCATTAACATAACAAGAGACACCTTTATCTCATAGTTAAGGAAATGTCAAGGGTTTTAGAAGTTCTGTCCTAGAAATGCGACAGAGGCCAATTTTAAATTTCTTATTATAATTCACAGTATCACACTCTTAAGCTACAGAAGAAGTAAATGAGTCAGGTAGTAATTGTCAGAATTATGAATAGGGCTTATATTTCCTAATTCTAATTTAGTTTTGATCTGCTAGATCACATAATTAGAAAATACAAGTCTAGTCTCATAGGAGAGCTAAAAATAGCAGTCATGATTTGTTGGATGGTCCTAGTGACAGGCCCTCATCCTGAGGGGAAAGCCCCCAGAGGCTTTCTAAAACTTTGAGTATGAAGTTTTAATGGTAAAACATTTATGTCTCACTTCTTATGATGTTGAAAGAATTTTTAAAAACCTAAAACTATATAGGCCTATCTTTACTAGAGTAGCTTAGCCAAAATCAACCCTTAGTGGAGAAGAGTCCGTCTACATTTTCAGAAACAAAGTTTTAATTATCTGAAGTGCTAGGATTTCAAGCCTATTTCAGAACTATATCAGCAGGAGCTGTATCACCATTGTAGTGATGAAAAGTTGTAAGTTTTCCTTCTTTGAAAACTGCTCGAATTAGTACCAAAAATGAGTCCTGGAACAATTTATAATTATATTTTCCTCCTCTTCTAGAAAGACCACTGAATTGGTATTACATGAAAATGAGTGAGATTAGAAATGAGCATTTTCCCCTTTTAATTTAAGTGTGCACAAATGTCTTTGAACCCTCTCAGGTGGCATGCTGGTTACTAGATCCAGATTCTAAGGAGCCAACTCTTCACAGCATAGTTTCCAGTTTTCTTCCTCATGAGCTTCCACTCCTCGAAGGGATAGAGACTGGCCAAGGAGTTCAGAGTCTGGGGCTGAATGTCAACACTGAACATTCTGGGAGATACAGAGCCTCGATGGAGTCGATTCTCATCTTCAACGCTATGAATCAACTCAATTCTTTGTTGAAGAAGGAAAACCTTCAAGGTTAAAACGATGTTGCTGGCATTTTTGTGCTATTACAGACTGGTGTTGGTTTTATATTTAGACACTTTATCACAGGTCTTTATCACTCTTTATCACACTTTTTTTAAACTTTATTTATTTGAGAGAGAGACAACAAGGAGGAAGGGCAGAGAGAGAGGGGGGAAGAGAGAGAATCCCAAGCAGGCTCTGTGCTGTCAGCACAGCTGCCACCATGGGGGGCTTCCTCTCACAAATCCTTGAAATCACGACCTAGTTGTTTTCAAGAGCCAGAGGCTTAAAGGACTAAGCCACCCAGGCATCCCTCTTTATCACTTTTAATGCAAATTCTATGTCTGGATTGTCCAGCACAGGGGTCAACAAACTTTCCTTAAAAGGTGAGACATTAAATATTTTTACTTTTCAGGATGTTAATAAGTCTTGCATAAGATACAAGGTATTGTGGTCAAATAATTTCAGACTTTCAGTTAATACAAAATTAAATAGTCTTTGCTTCAGGGCTTCTCAGAGCCTTTACTAAATAAACAGGCATCATGAATATCCAAAAGCAGTATATAAATGCTGGAACTCCCAATACAGTGTCTCTCAACTGTACTCTTTTCATAGAGTATCTTTGACACTAATATTCCAGAAAGCATACTGGAAAAAAATGATGTAGAATGACTACTCTGTTGAGAAGCATCAGTAGATAGAAAAATACTCTGATTCTTACTTTAGAAAACTTTTTCTTTACTCTTTGGTAAGAGCATTGGCTTCTTTGGTAAGAAGCCTCCATTTTTAGTTCTTTGTGCAAATGTACATATCATGGAACCAGGAACATTGGAAATAATTTCAGGAGATTAACTCTTTCTAGTCAGTTTAGCAAATAACTTTGGCTCTCTTGCTGTTGCCAAGGGTAGAAACAAAAACATTATCTTGGGAGAAATGCAGTTTATTGTAATATAGACTATTCACAAGATTGCCAGTTTTTCTGCCCTCTGTGTAGACAAAGATAGTGGTCTAGTGCTGAAGTAGAAAAGTGGGAAGTACTTTTATGCCTTTCATTGTTGGCCTGAGAGTGCTGCTTTGGAGACTGGATCTTGAAGAATTGCTTGGGTAGCACCTCTGAATTTGCCTAGAAAAATTCCATGTGTTTTTAGGTGATGATGCTAATCCAATCGTTTAGCTGGTGAATTAATGTCTTAGTTTTCTTGTTTTTTCTTCCAGATGTTTTCTGTAAAGTGGAAATGCCCTCTCAGTACTGCTTGGCCTTGTTAGAATTAAATGGAATTGGATTTAGTACTGCAGAATGTGAAAGTCAGAAACACATAATGCAAGCCAAGCTGGATGCGATTGAGACTCAGGCCTATCAACTAGCCGGGCACAGTTTTTCCTTCACCAGTTCAGATGATATTGCTGAGGTTGTATCATGGGAATGCAGAATTTTAGAGTTAAAAATGATGTGTGTGTTTGTGTATGTGTGTGTATTTCCTAAATGTGTTTGCCTAAATGACAAAGATCAATTTTAAAAATTTTAGTTATTGGAGAACTTTGGAAATAGAGTATTCTAGTGTCTAATTTATAAATTATATCTGTATTTATGAGTTTGGAAGGTAGTAAAGAAACCTAGAATGTATGCTCCATGAGATTTACCTAGAACAGAGGAGGTACTCAGTAAATATTTATTGAACAAAAGATCTATAGTGATGTTACATAACAGTGTAGTTGTTTCTCCATGAAGTTAGACATTTCATGAAGTCTCACTCCTTCCTTCCCCCCAATTTTTTTTTGGAGAACAAAATTAGATATTTTTCTCAGTTGTTAACGAAAAAGGGTATTTTGTGACTATTTGCTTTTTTTAAACCTACATAAGATTTTTATAAACTTACATACGTTTTGACACAGTTTATCCTTTTTTTTTTTTTTTATTTTCAAAGTTTGACATTCTATTCTTTGGTCTCCCCACACTCCACAAAGGGTGGTTGGGTTGTTGTAGAGGGGTTACAAGTACAGGGTGGGTGCTTATACTCGATAGCATTGAGGTTCAGGTGTCTTACAGATGCAATTCAGTAATACAGCGTATTGTAAAGATCACAGGCTTTCAAGCCAGTCTTCTTGAATTTGAATCCTGTCTCCTCCACTTAGTAATTAACTCTGAACCTTGGGCCAATACATTAACTCTTTATATCTCAATTTCTACATCAGTAAAATGGGTTATGATAGAAATGCCTCACAGAGTTGTTGTGAGGAGGAAATGATGAATGTAAAACACTTAGACTAGTGCTCATCTCATAGTAAACATTCAATAAATGTTATATATACTCATATAAATGCCCCCTTTTTAAGCCACAGGGTTATGTTTTTGAAATAAGAGGAATTTTGCGGGGCGCCTGGGTGGCGCAGTCAGTTAAGCGTCCGACTTCAGCCAGGTCACGATCTCGCGGTCCGTGAGTTCGAGCCCCACATCAGGCTCTGGGCTGATGGCTCAGAGCCTGGAGCCTGTTTCCGATTCTGTGTCTCCCTCTCTCTCTGCCCCTTTCCCGTTCATGCTCTGTCTCTCTCTGTCCCAAAAATAAATAAACGTTGAAAAAATAAATAAATAAAAAAATTTAAAAAAATAAAATAAGAGGAATTTTGTTTCTCCTAACCACAGGGTACATTTGTATTGAATTAGTGGTGACTTTTTTGTTTATTTTTTAAATTTTTTTCTTTTGACTTTTTTTTTTTAATGTTTATTTTTGAGAGAGAGAGACAGAGACAAAGCGTGAGCAGGGGAAGGGCAGAGAGAGAGGGAGACACAGAATCTGAGCTGTCAGCACAGAGCCTGACACAGGGCTCAAACTCATGAGCTATGAGATCATGACATGAGCCAAAGTTGGCTGCCCAATGGACTGAGCCACCCAGGCACCCCTCTTTTGAGTTCTTTAGCTTACAACTCCCAAACTGACTGCACTTAAAATTACATAGAAGACTTATCAAAAACATAGGATCTCTGGATTTCAGCATAAGTAGGCTTGGGGCAAAGACAGGAATCTGTGCCCTTGTGATTCAGATGGGTACTAAGGCCATAGGCCTAGACTAAACTCTAGGCCAGAATAAAAGACCTTTGATGTTAATGGCTTGTTCTTAGGTCTTCATGTTAAAATGGAAATTATATTTAAGGTAATCTGACAGTTTCACACATTGACTGTTTAATCCTTAGTGATCTGAAGTTGAATCTTTGACCTGGGAAGGATATTACTAATCATCTAGAGCTGCACTGTCCAATACAGGGGCCACTAGCCACTTGTGGCTATTTATATTTAATTTAATTAAAATTAAATAAAATATATTAATTCAGTTCCTTACTTGTGCTAGACACGTTTCAAATGTTCTATAGCCACATGTGGCAAGTGACTACCATAATGGGGAATGCAAATATAGAACATTTTCATTATTGCAAAAAAGTTCTTTTGGATGGCACTGGCGTAGAGTGGGGATCAGCAAACTACGTCTTGTGGGCTAGATCTGGTCTGCCACCTGCTTTTGTAAATAAAATTTTATTGGAGCACAGCCACACCTGTTGTTCATTTACTTATTGTCTTTGGCTGCTTTTGGTCTATAATGGCACAATTGAAAAGTTGTGACAGACAGTAAAATCTGCAAAGCTGAAAATATCTGTTATCTGGCCGATTTTTGGAAATGGTTGTTGATTCCTAATCTAGAGGGAAGCATGGGTTAGAGGAAAGAAAAAGGACTTTGGAGTCAGAGGACTATGGGTTCTAATTCTTAATTTTTCTGCTTTTTGGCCATGTAATGTTAAGCAAGTTTCTCCAACTGTGTAAACTTTTCAAATGTGTCACAGAATTGTTACATATATTACATGTGATGACACGTGTTAAAGCATCTAGCATAATGGCCGACACAAAGTAAGTCCTCAATAAATATTAGTGCCTCTTGCTCTCATCTAGTTCAACTACCTCATTTCACAGATATATTCATTGAGACGTGGAGAGGTAATTTATGAAGTTTCCGCACTCAATTCTGAGGGTTTCACCAAAAACAGAAATGCAAGATAAAGAACCTTTAAAAACGTAACTTGAGATCTTTGAATTGTTTTAATTATGGTAGGTCTTTCCTCCTGGAATTGTTGATTTATTGCCACTTTAAATTAAGAAAAAAAAAAATCCCTGCCCTGTATAGGTCTAGTTTCTTCAGTGGGTGCTTATGAGCCACTCTAGCTATCATTATTGCTACGTTGGGTTAGCCACCTTCTCCTGACTTTTGTGCCCAAGGATTCTGAGTCTAGCCTTATGGTGGTGGAAGTAGATGACTTTTTGGATCCCTTTCTACCTTAGTGTTCTCTGATTTTTTGTGATCATATAATAGCCACAGAGCCTCCCATATTGACCCTCTATGAGGCCTAAATGGTTGAGTAGCCACGTTGGTTACCACATCAAGGGGTATTCAGGAGAGTTCACAGTTGTCAGAGCAATTGCTAGTCTCAATGTCAATAGCTTATTTATCACTTGTTCAGCACAGAGTATACATTCCCGTGTTCTTGACTGTTTAAAAGCCTGGCATTGGTATTAATCTGATAGTGCCTAAATTAGGGTATAGACATACTTGACGTACAGATTTTTATTGCCATTATTTATTAAATGTGATAATTTAAGATGTTATAAGAAAATCTCCAAAGCCATACTGAATTATACAGATTTTCTTAAATAACTTTAAAAAATGTTTGTGAATGTCAATGCTTGTGATTTAATTCTTGACTAAAGAAGCATTAATTTCTTGCAGGTTTTATTTTTGGAATTAAAATTGCCACCAAATGGAGAGAGAAAAAATCAAGGCAGCAAGAAGACTTTGGGTTCTACTAGAAGAGTGAATGACAATGGACGCAAGCTAAGGCTGGGAAAACAGCTCAGCACCAGTAAGGTGCTCTATGGGGCAGTTACAGGGCAGAAATTGAATTACTTTTAACATTTTAGTGTCTTGAAAGAATGCTGACGAAAGCAAGATCCAGCATAGCCCAATATTTGAACTTATCCAGATGAAAACAATTTGGTTTGTGGTTCAACTGCCTGCAAAAACTGGAGACATTCCATCATGGAAAATCTGGACCATAATCTGATTTAGCAGTTGTGTCCTTCCTATCATTAAAACAGTATAATGGTTTATAAACTTAGATCTGTAGACATTATTTAGTCATTGACATCCACTACTCTTGGACTTCTAGTGTAACATAATTTATATAGTTATAGGTATATGAACAAAGGTGTGGAAGAATTAAAAAAAAAAGTTCAGCCATTACAAATAAAACAGTTTAGGGGCAATTTTAGGGCAAAATAGTAAGTTTTCCATGAACTTCTTTTAAGAATCTAATCTACTAAGTTCTTTTTTTTTTTTAAGTTTACTTATTTATTTTGAAAGAGAGAGTGAATGTGAGAGGGGCAGAGAGAGGGGGAAGAGAAGTGATCCAAAGCAGTCTCCACGCTGTCAGCGCAGAACCCACTGCAGGGCTGGAACTCATGAACCGTGAGATCATGACGTGAGCCAAAACCAAGAGTCGGATAACCAACTGAGCCACCCAGAGACCCCTCTACTCTACTAATTTCAAAGTAAAAGTACAAATCACAATCCATGGAAACTTTATGTTTAAGAGAGAAGAGAAAAGGCTTAATATTACAGTTTTGCTGAAAAAATTTTCAATGGAATAATAAGGGGTAGGAAATACAGCCACAAGAGCCCAGGAGAAAGAAGTCCCCAGTTGCCATTCTGTAGAATTTTGACCCTAATATCATTAACTATGACTAACCTGCCCTAGGGAAGTTTCCACTGTTTCATTCTGTAACAAAACTTTTTGTTTTATCTCACTGGCCCTCTAACCTTCCAAGTTCCTATTTCTTAGCAGTTTACCAAAATTCTGTAGCATGGAAAATTCACAGTTTTGAAGATAAATGTCTTCTAACTTTCTTGACATGGAAACCATGAAAGTATTAGGGCAAAAGGAAAACAAAACAAAACAAAACATAAGAAACTTCCAATCACATGAAGAATAGAGAAGGAAAATACTACAGAGAAAGGATTCTTGGGGTGGGGTGAGGGAAGGCAGTTCTAGTACCTTGCTAAGTGGACATCTCATTGATTTTATTTTTAAGGTAGATCTAAATTGGTATTACTCAGCATTGACATATTTGCATTTTATAATCTATAGTTGTTATAGTTTTATCACAGTGATTGTCAAAAAAACCCAAACAGTTAATTTTGAGTTGTAGATACAGGAGTTAACAAAATTAATTTTGAGATTTAAGAAAGTCTAGTTTGCTATGGAATTTGGACAAGAATCTGATCTTACCTTTTTATATTTCTTTGGCAGGATGTTTTAAATAAATTAAAGGCATTGCATCCTTTACCAGGCTTGATATTAGAGTGGAGAAGAATCACTAATGCTATTACCAAAGTGGTCTTTCCTCTACAGCGGGAAAAGCGTCTAAATCCTTTTCTTGGAATGGAAAGAATCTATCCTGTATCACAATCACACACTGCTACAGGTAATGAGAAATCTTAATTGTAGATAATAGCCAATTTTGAAAGAAAAACTTTTCATATATAATATTTGCTTATGATGACCAAGGAATTCAAGTGTTGATTATTAGATACTGTGAAGTTTCATAAACATTTATGAAACACATACTACACCAAAGCATGGATGGATACTAGCTACAGAGATGAGATTTAGTAAGATATAGTTCCTACTTTCAAGTACTATATAGAGTAACTGGGATGTCTGAGACTGTGCTTTGGATTAATATTTATTTGAGCCAGTGATCTTATCTAATTTCAGTCCTAGCCCTCTCCTGAACCTCTTAAGATTCTCTCCAAGTTGAATCTAAATAGTGCTGTGGAACATCTGTATAATAAATGAGTGTCTTATTTTACTGAATCAGAAAAGAGCTGTGCAGTACTTTGAGTGTCTTGTATGACTCTTGGGATAGGTAAGGAAAAAAGCATTCTTAGGCTAAGCCGTACAAAACTAAATATTTGCCAAATGCAAAGTGCACTGGAAGAAAGGGCAGGATTAATTCTTTCATTGGGGAGATAGTTTAGATTGGTGGTATAGAATTGGACTTTAATATCTAATTTTTACATGGTTTGAATTCTGGTGCTGTGAATCTTTAGACAAGGTAGCTTGGTGCCCACGTGTCCTCATGTGTAAAACACAGTGTTAATAGTCTACTTCACCAGGTCATTCTGAGGATTAAGTAGGTTAATACATTTAAAGTGTTTAGTTCATGGCACTTTGTGCATGGCTAGTTATCAGTTGTTGCTGTTATTACAGATGGCGGCACCATGAGGAACTGCTCTTCTCTTTGCTTGCTTATTCTCTGTTCTAAATAAATTCTTTTCCCTTCTCCCCTATTTAGCTAACATCTGCCTTCATCCTAGCCATTTCTTGCCCTATTGGTATTTAAATTTCATTTTGAGACATATGCTAAGACATATCAACATATCAAAATCAATGTAGAGTTTTAAAGGTGTTGCATTTATTCATTGCATATAAAGCAGAAAGTAAGCAATTCCTTTTGTTTTTCAGTCGGTTTGTATGGGTATTGTATGGAAACCAAGTTGACAATAAATTATATTTAATTAAAAAAAATAAATAAATAAATGAATAAAGACTATTTTAGAAATACAAGCTTACCTAAGCATAGCAAAGCCATTTAATTATTAGAATTCATCTCCATGAAGCCACATTCATGTTTTGTAATTTATTTTTGCCATCTTGTTTGTCTGCCAGTGTTAACCTCATTAATTCAAATAATAGACCTGAATAGTAAGTGCCATTATAGAAAAGAAGACAGTGTGCTGAGGCAGCAAGAGACTTAGATTCCTTCTTCTGGTTTTGGCTGGTTTTGTAACATTGAACAGGCCATTTAATGATAATAAGTACATTAATATCTACCATTAATTGAACACTAATTTTTGCTAAAAGGTAAATAACAAGGACATTTATCAGGGATTTATTCAGTAAAAGAATATCTGAGGTACTTAAAATGCCTGACTCATCAAAAGAAGATGAAATTATATATAGTAGCTAGTAGACAGCCAGTTACAAAGAAGAGTACATTTTAAAACAGAAGATTTTGTATCACTATATATGTATTATAAAAACTACAATAACACAATCAGTTACCCAGACTTTTTTTGAACTATGCTTATGTGTTTTAGAAAAATTCAATCAAGGGGCGCCTGGGTGGCGCAGTCGGTTAAGCGTCCGACTTCAGCCAGGTCACGATCTCGCGGTCCGGGGGTTCGAGCCCCGCGTCAGGCTCTGGGCTGATGGCTCAGAGCCTGGAGCCTGTTTCCGATTCTGTGTCTCCCTCTCTCTCTGCCCCTCCCCCGTCCATGCTCTGTCTCTCTCTGTCCCAAAAATAAATAAACGTTGAAAAAAAAAATTTTTAAAAAAGAAAAATTCAATCAATAAGTAAACAAGTGTAAAATATTTTTTGGGAAATAAAGGCTATAAACATTAAAACAAATTGCTTTCTCTTTCCTAGAAAATTCAGTAACTACCTGATTCTAGTCTCCAACCTTATCAATGCTACCGTTGATTCTCTTAATGATTAAGGATGGTGATGAAGAAAAGCAGCCAGCTGATGTCTAGAAAGTGATTTTCCAGCCACCGCTTCTCACTCCTGCATTTTCTACATTAGCTAACTCCTTGGGCCCCAGTTGTCCCTCTTCAGCATTCAGTTGCTCTTCTGCTTCAGATTCTGTTTTGTGCATTACTGGGTTTTGAAGGCTTTGACAGTCATTTCTCCTAGGGTCCATTTGATTAGTCCATTTGATTACTCATTAATACCACCACTAACATTGTATAGTGCTGACACCTGGTATTCACTTTAGCGTAGGAATAGTTCAACTTATCAAATTATGGCTTATCATAGGATTGATTGTTTTCTAGAGAGCTAGGTTAATGTAACATATTCTATTGTTGACTCATATATTCACTTACATTGGGATTGGTCTTGTACTTATTTTTATCATTGTCAGACACATGAACATAATGAAAAATATTTAAATACAAATTTATTTTAGCGTAGCAATAATAGAACATGCATTTTAAAGATAATTCAGAAATGCCATTACTGTGAAATAAATGTCAGATCCCTCCCACTCCTCTCAATTTTATGTCTTCATTCTGCTTGATTTTAGGACGAATAACCTTTACAGAACCAAATATTCAGAACGTGCCAAGAGATTTTGAGATCGAAATGCCAACACTAGTAGGGGAAAGCCCACCTTCTCAAGCCCTAGGCAAAGGCCTACTTCCCACATACAGGTAGACGTTATTTCTCTATATTTGTGTTAATATACTTTTGTGAGTATGAATGGTTCAAAAACAGCCGTTGGGACAAAATAATGAAATTAGTTATTTTATTGGACAAAATAATGAAATGATGAATTTTTTGTTCTGGGCATACATATTTCTTTTTTTTTTTTTTTTTTAGTTTATTTATTTTGAGGGAGAGAGAGTGTGCGTGTGCACAGGGAGGGACAGAGAAAGAGGAAGAGAGAGAATCCCAAGCAGGCTCCATGTTGCGTGGAGCCCCAATTCCGTTGAGGAGCCGGAGACAGAGCCCTTAGTGGGGGCTCAAACTCACAACCCCTGAAATTATGACTTAAGCTGAAATCAAGAGTTGGTGGCTTAATCGACTAAGCCACCCAGGCACCCTTGGGCATATATATTTCTATTCTAGGTGCTATCCGTTTAACATCCTGAGTCTGTCTATAAAGATGCTCATTGATGGTGAAAGGCTGAAAACCTAGGCCACTAATTAAATCAATCAGCATGATGTGCTTTATTAACTCAGTCGCTAAAGGGAAGAGTTTTTTAATTGTGTCAGGAACATCCCCTCCTGCCTTCGCCATATACACCTGATGGAAAGAAACAGCATAGATAATTACATATGGTCAAAACAATTTGTTGATTTGAGCTAAATATCAGTAATTGTTTCAGAAGCAGTTTGTGGCAGAAGCTGTTGCAGAAATGTCTTACTTCCTGTTTAATTGAATATTTGCTAAAAAAGAAAATCTAGTAGCTTTGTTAAGCTTTAAAGTGAGTTTCAAATGATAAGATTTTTAAGTTTCTTAGATAGAACTATTGACTTTACTGAAAAATGAGACCTTTTTCATATATTTGAGACTGCTTCATGTCCAGCTGCTGATGTTGTTTTCATGACAGAGGAAGAAAGAAGACGAGTTGCAGCCTGAACTCTGGACACCAGGCACAGATGGAGGAGAGAGCCTCAGACAGAGGAATGCCCTTTTCAGTCAGCATGCGACATGCCTTTGTACCTTTCCCAGGTAAGGTGGCTGATGGTTTTCTGAACTTCTCATTGCTGTGGGAATGGTTTTCAAAGCACTGATAAAGCCTGCATTATGAATAAGACTCAGAAGGATGCATTGGTCGCTCCCCCTTTCCTCTCTTCAATGTAGCCTGTTTTTCCCCTTTGTGTTGCAAGGTTGTCAGTCATCATTGTCTTCATGATCTGCTCTGTGGGAAACTTCTGTGGTGTAAGCTTATCGGCAGCAGTCTGCTGAAACCATGTTTTCCAAGGTCATTGTAGACCTTTTGGCAAAGTCCAGCAGATACCATTAGTCCTTGTCCTCTTTGACTTCTGTACAGCTTTTGTACTGTTCATTAACCCTTACTTTCCTCAATTTCTGTCCTCCCTTGATCTCAAGGGCACATTTTTTTTTTTTTTTTTTTTTTTGTCTTTCTGACTTGCTTTGCTATTCTGTTTCTCCTCCTCTTCTCCACACCGCTGCTTCCTAGTGCAGGGGCTAGTCCCCAAGGCTGTCCTCCCAGTGCCTGACCTCTCCTCAGTACTCTAGTCATATACTTTTCATAAAAAGGTTTAACTCTGGCTATAAACTCTAGTCATAAAACATTTGAAAGTCACGATCTAACTCCTAAACATCCCTACTATTTGTATACATATTTGCTCTTTTATCTTTTGCCAGCTGTTAGGTCTGAGTGAGTGCATTCTGAATTTATTTTAATTCTGTCAGAAACTTAATGTTCTAATGGTGAATTCAGGTCTATGATAACATAACCTGCTTGGTAATTTTCAGTTTTGCTTTAAGTATGAACTATCAGCATTATATCATTGTAACCATTTTTAAGTATTTAGCTCTGTGACATTAAGTACATTTGCCTTGTTGTATAGCCATTACCACCATCCATCTCCAGAACTTTTTCATCTTCCACGACTGAAACTCTACATCTATTAAAAAATAACTCTTCCCACCACTACCCAGCCCCTGGCAGCCACCATTCTACTTTCTGTCTCTGTGAATTTGACTAGTCTAGCTATCTCATCTATGTGAAATTATACAGTATTAGTCTTTTGGTGTCTGGTTATTTCACTTAGCATAATGTCTTTAAGATTCATCCATGTTGTAGTATATGTCAGAATTTCCTTTCTTTTTAAGGCTGAATAATATTTGCATGTATATACTTCATTTTGTTTATTTGTTCATCAATTTATTCTTAGCTAAACAATAAAATTGTGTTAACATGACCTTATTTTATACTGGTTTTGTTTACATTTTTTAAGTTTATTGAAATTAAAGATATATCGATTAAATCTGAAAATTTCTGTCACATATATTTAGTGTTTAGTCCATTTACATCTAAAGTAATTATTGGTGTGGCACCTGAGTGGCTCAGTCAGTTGAGCGTCTGTCTTGATTTGGGCCCAGGTCATGATCTCAGGGACATGAGATTAAGCCCTATATCTAAGCTAAGCATCGAGCTGGTGTAAGCTTCTCTCGTTCCTACTCCCTCTTCCCCTCCCCTGCTTGTGCTCACTCACTCTCTCTAACTCTTAAAAAAAAAAAATTGGCATATGGTTGGTTTAAGTCTACTCTCTTGTTATTTGTGTTTTATTTATCTGTTTTTTATTCTTTTTTAAAGATTTAAGTGACTACTTTTTATTCTTTTTATTTTCTCCACTGTCTTATTAACTATCCTATATATTCTAGAGTTTACAATATGCATCCCATCACAAACTATCTTCAAATAACCTTATACTACTTCATCTGTAATATAAGGAGTTTTTTCCATTTCCCCTCTTTTATAATAGGTTTTATTTCTATGACATATAAATTCTACTATCTAGCTGTTATTCTTGCTTGAAACAGTCTATAATCTTTCAAAGAAATCAAATAAAAAAGCGTCTCTCCTATCTGTCCATTTTTACCATTTCTTGCACTTTTCATTTCTTGGAGTAATTCACGGAATCTTAAAGTACTTCCTCCAGAATACTTCCTTTAAGGTTTCTTGTAGTGCAGATCTACTGACAACGACTTATCTCAGCATTCCCATGTCTCTAGGTGTCTTTATTTTATCCTCACTTTTGAAAGATAATTTATTTTATTTTATTTTTTTTAATTTTATTTGAGAGAGAGAGAGAAGGTGAGTCAGGGACAGGGGCAGAGGAAGAGAGAGATCGATAATCTTAAGCAGACTCCACACTCATCACAGAGCCCGATGCAGGGTTCAATCCCACGACTCTGGGAACATGACCTGAACCAAAATCAAGAGTCCAATGCTCAGCCAACTGAGCCACCCAGGCGCCCGAATGATAATTTTATTTGACATAGATTTATTGGTTTACAGTCCTTCTCTTTCATCACTTTATATATTTCCACTAGCTTCTGGTTGCATTATTTCTGATGAGAAGTACTCCACCATTTTTCTTGCTCTTTTTCTAAGCATAATATAACTTTTCCTTGGATGCTTTTTCAATTTTATTTGTTATTCAATTTTAGCAATTTGATTTGGGCGCAAGTCTCTGGGTAGTTTTTCATGCTTTGCTTGTAAGACTTTTGAATTTGCTGAATTTCCTCAGTTGGCATCATTTTGCTTTTTTTTAATCTATGTGCTTATATTTTTCAGTAAATTTGGAACATTTTCAACCATTATTTCTTGTAATATTTTTTTGTTCATATCTCTCTCTCCTTCCTTTCTATTAATCCAAATATACATATGTAATACCACTTGGTATTGCCCCAAAATTCCCTGAAGCTTTCTTCTTTTTTATTTCCCTTTCCTTTTTTTTTTCCTCCCAATCCTGTGCTATAATGCATATTTTCTATTGACTGTTTTAATGTTCATGGATCTTCTCTTCTACAGTGTCTAATTACTGTCACATCCTTCTGGTGGATTTTACATTTCAGATATTTTTAGCTTTGGAATTTTTATTTGATTTCTTTGTCTAGTTTTTATTACCTTATTGCATTTCATTATTTGTTACATCATTATGTTCATGTTTCTTTAAATTCCTGAACATTATCTATGGTAGCTATTTAAAATTCCATCATCTCTGTAATTTCTGGGTCATTTTGCTATTGATTAAAGACTCTCCTGGTCAGTTACATTTTCCTGGATCTTCATATGTCTAGTATTTTTTTTATTATTATATATTGGACATTACGGTTGCTACATTACTGACTCTTGGGATTTTGTAGTCTTCATTAATAACATTTTCTCTGGCAGACACTTAATTTACTTTCACATTCAGCTTGATCATTTTGAGATTTTTTTTTAAGCTTTGTTAGCAAATGTTTAGAGTGGCCTTTACCCCAGGGCTAGATTAGTCCTGATTGTAAGGTGCTGCCTTGCTAGGGTTTGTACTTGGTGCTCAAGTGGTTAACAAGGTCTGTCCACTAAGTCTGGTCACAGCTTGAACATCTCTCAACATTCAAGAGGATGTTGTTCAAGTAGTTGTTCAGCTGACAGCTATGTGATGGTGGTTGTTTCTTCAGTAATAGTTACTCCTTTAGTATTGGTTCTTTGCCTGGTTTCCTGAACTATCTCCCTTCTTTAGTATTTGGTTAAAAGTCCAAAGGGATTACTGTGCATATTTGTGGTGCTCCTCTTATGTACAACTCCTTTCTCCAAATTTCCACAAATTCTAGCTCCCTCAGTAGGCACAAACTCTAGTCTCTGCTTCCTCATCTCGGAGAGATCATAGTGCTTTGTTTCATCCTTCCTTCCCTGCAATGCATTCTGGTAAGTTCCTCTTTTCAGAACCCTAAGACACTTGCATGACTCACCTCATCTTTTCCCTCCTCCCTACTTCTTAAGGATTGTAGTCCTGTACTAAGTCCAACATCTGAAAATACTTATTTCATATATTTTGTGAGTTTATCTTATTTATGGCAGGAAGGCCATAAACGTTGTGGTCATTTGTTTTAAATTATTACTTATATACTTTTGAATTGTTTATGTATTTACCATAGTTCAGAAATAAAAATGTATAAAATCAAAATATATTAAGAAGTTTTATTTCCTTCCCTGCCCTAGTTGTCCTATTGTCTGCAGCTCTTCTAGATAACCTCATTCATATATGTTTCTTACATGTCCTCATTGTATTTTTTATGCAGATATAAGCAAATGTGAATATATAATTCCTTCCCCTATTCTTACACAAAAACAAGGATTCCATATACACTGTTGTATGCCTTTCTTCACTTAATGTTTTTATACTGAAGAATTGTGATGATCAGTAAATAATTTTGAACATAAATCAGTTTAATCTCTGTGCAGGTAATCTGTGTAGCAGAAAACTGTGGGTTTGTTTGCTGAATCATAGAGTAAATCTGTTTAATTGGTAGGTATTGTTGAATTGCAATTTAATGGGGGAGAATAACCATTTAGTTCCCAGTAACAATATCTGAGTGTTCCTTTCTTAGCTTTGCCACAGAACGTACTGTCCGACTTCTGGATTTTTGCAATTTAAGTAGAGAAAAATTATTCCTTGCTATAGTTTTAAATTGCATTTCTTTTATTGTGAATGAAGTCAAGCATTCTTTAGTATGTTTAAGGTTCTTTTGATTATTTCTGTGAACTGCTTGTTTATATTTTGTCTTGTTCTTGATTTGTAGCATGTCTTTTTTATAATATGACAATGAATCTTTTGTGATATCAGTTGTAAATATTTTTCCTACTTTTTTTTTACCATGATTTTTTAAAAAAGTTTATTTATTTTTGAGAGAGAGAGCATAAGCAGGACAGGGATAGAGAGAGAGGGGACAGAAGATCTGAAACCTGATGAGGGGCTCAAACTCATGAACCATGGTATCATGACCTGAGCCAAAGCCGGACGCTTAACTGACTGAGCCACCCAGGTGCCACTTTACCACTATTTTTTAAATTTTGTTTTTGCCATGTGTGTCTAACCCAGTTATTTCTATTCCATAGGTAAACTTTCTGAATCCTCCAAGTCATAGAGGATTGTTTCCATTGAATGTTTCTCTCCAGCCCACTTAAAATGTGCACATATTACAAATCAGTTTCTTCATTCATTCATTCATTCATTCAACAACCATTTAAAGGATTTTCTATAGAATGAAAAGGAAAAATAAGTATCCCATTTCTAATGGCTCTGTGCTACGTGGGAGAGGCATGGAAGAACCATTTTAGATTGTGTATCAGGTGCTGTGGAAACACTGAGGAAAGCACTACTATAGTGGTTAAGTGGCAGAGGTCAGGGGTGGCTTTACACATAATACATATACTTGAAAGCCAAACAGAAAAATTATGATCTAAGTCACAGAACTGAATTGCATCATGTTAAAAGCAAGATTTTAAACTTTGGACACATATCTTATGGTTTAGGTTAGAACTAAATTTCTGTCTTCCCGTTCAATTCTATAAAACCTGGATTTATCTTTGTACCAGCTTTTCTAAAATAATTTCTGTTTCAGGTGGCTTAATATTAGCTGCGGATTACTCTCAACTTGAACTGAGGATCTTGGCTCATTTATCTCATGATCGGCGTCTCATTCAAGTGTTAAACACTGGAACTGATGTTTTCAGGAGTATTGCCGCTGAGTGGAAGATGATTGAGCCAGAGTCTGTTGGGGATGATCTGAGGCAACAAGCAAAGCAGGTGATTTTAGTGAGCATGTTGAACATAAATGGGAATTTTAATGATTAAAAAAATTTAAAAATTGCCTTGATCATTTGCAGTGGAGGAATGATTTCTCCATCTTGGATCTTTCAAATCACATTCACCTGAGCCTGTCTCATGGTATTCATTATACTTTCCTCAATAGAGTCAGTAAAAAGAATCAGGTAGATTTAGTCTGAGGCAACTTAGTGTGAGGAAAGCCATCTGCATTAGTGGTAGATATTGTGGTGGTGGTGGTAGTTGTTATTTATGTATATTTGTGTTTGGGTGGGGTTTCTTTTAGAGAGAGAGGAATCGTGAGTGGGAGAGCAGGGTAGGGGGCAGGGAGAGAAAGAGAATCTTTTATTTTTTTTAATGTTTATTTCTTTTTGAGAGCAGAGAGAGAGAGACAGAGCATGAGCAGAGGAGGGGCAGAGAGAGAGGGAGACACAGAATCCAAAGCAGGCTCCAGGCTCTGTTAGCACAGAGCCTGATGCGGGGCTCAAACTCATGAACTGTAAGATCATGACCTGAGCCGAAGTCGGACGCTCAACCAAGTGAGCCACCCAGGTGCCCCTGAGAAAGAGAAGCTTAAGCAGACTCCGCACTTAGCCCAGAGCGTGATGTGGGCTCACTCCCACGACCTTGGGATCATGACTAGAGCCAAAATCAAGAGATGCTTAACCAACTGAACCACCCAGGTGTCCCTGTGTGTGTGTTTTAAAAATTTCTGTGTAGTCTGTAAGCATTCATATTTTCATCTTTATTTTCACAGGTGCTTTCTAAATGTTTACTGAAAAATAAAAATTGAGCTGTAGATTATAATTAATAACATAGCTTTTTGAGGCCTTTGGTTAGCTAATCCACATGTGAAATTTTACACTGCCCTTGGACTTTTCAAGTGGGTCCGTATTAGTTCCTGGCCTGGATTAACATTGATACTTTTTTTTTCTTTTTTTTTTTTTACCTCATGGCCTGTGGGAAATCTGATGCCATTTTTCAGAGAATAGGATTGCTGGCTGAGGCAAACGAACATTACTCCCACCTTTAAGATCCTATGTGTTAGTTTTACATTTATACTTCTAGTTACTCGCAACTATAATTCTTGACTCACTCATTAGGCATGAAACACTTCCTCTCAACATTGCCTATTTAGCACCAGCACTTGTTTCTTCCACTTTAAAAAAATTTTTTTAATGTTTATTATTTGTTTTTGAGAGAGAGAGAGAGTGCAAGCAGGGGAGGGACAGAGAGAGATGGAGACACAGAATCTGAAGCAGGCTCCAGGCTGAGCTGTCAGCACAGAGGCTGATGCGGGGCTCAAACTCACGAACTGTGAGATCATGACCTGACCTGAAGTCGGATGCTTAACTGACTAAGCTACCCAGGTGCCCCTCTTCCACTGTTTAGAAAGCCAGCTTTGCCCTTTCTATTTAAGAATCTCTTCTGGGGTTCTGCATTCAGCAAGAATCAAACCCTAAGTAAAATAGGTAATGTTCCAGTATTTAATATTAATAATAAACCCATAAAATAGGTATTATTATTATTCCCATTTTATATAGGAGTAAACAAAGGCACCAAAAGTTAGTAATTTACTTAAAGTCATACAGCTGTAAGTGGTGGAGCCAAGATAAGTTCAGAATGCCAGAACTTAGACATTCTGTCTCCATATAAACACTCATGCACTGATGATATCTGCCTCTATTTAATAGGTTCTTACATGACTTAATGGTGTTTATGCTATGTCAATTTTTCTTCCTAAGTCACCATGCACTGAACTCCTTGGCTCTGGCTGAGATCTCAGAAAGTGCTGTGTACTTTCTGAGTTAAAAAAAAAAAAAAAAAAAAAAAGGAGGAGGAGTCACAAAAAAATAAAATGTAAAAACACCAAAAAGGGAAAGAAAAAAGAAGGTAAAAAAAACCTCTCTCAATGTATTTAAAAAGATAGGGGGATGCCTGAGTGACTCAGTTAGTTAAGTGTCCAACTCTTTGATTTCAGCTCAGGTCATGATCTTATAGTTCATGAGTTTGAGCCCTGCATCAGGGCTCTGCATTGACAGTGCAAGCCTGCTTGAGATTCTCTTGCTCTCCCTCTCTCTCTGCCCCTCCCCTGTTCTCTGTCTTTCTCTCTCTCTCTCTTTCAATAAATAAATAAACATTACAGGGCACCTAGGTGGCTCAGTCAGTTAAGCGTCTGACTTCGGCTCAGGTCATGATCTCATGGTTCACGAGTTCAAGCCCTGCATTGGGCTCTGTGCTGATAGCTCAGAGCCTGTAGCCCACTTTGGATTCTGTGTCTCCCTCTCTCTCTGCCTCTTGCCTGCTTGCTCTCTCTTTCTCTCAAAAATAAATGAACATTAAAAAAATGGAAAAAACAAAAACTTCTAGCCATCCTATCACATTAAAAGTATTTTGGAATTCTGATAATCATTTTTTGCAAGTTATCTTCTAAATTATATTTAATGACATTTATATTAGCTTGCTTTATATCAGGAATTTTCCTAAACACTTATAAATAATAACTCCATAATCTTCACAATTCATGATACAGGTATTACTATCTTCATTTTATGGATGAAGAAATCAAGTTACAAGACTTTAGGTAGCTTGTGTAAATGCTGGAATTGGGATTTGAACCCAGGCAATATTCATTATTAAATTACAGTGTCCTTACTGACCTATTTAGACCATCTCCTTCCATTACTCCCAAAATTTCCTCAGGAATTCATTTAACCCAAAAGAATTCTGCAATTGTGGGATTTCAGGTGGTGGTGAAGCGGAAAGCATATTTATTTCCAGTGAAGTCTTCCCTATTTTCCAACCATGAAGCCACCACTTCCTACTCTATTAGTCCTATGCAAGGGCCAGGAGACGAATGTTTGTAATGCTTCTCTTTCTTGACTCCTGGACACTGCTTTAAGCAGAAGTTAATATGGTATTATGGGAGCAGAAAGCCGCTCTGAAGACTACTGCTTAAATAACAGGAATAAATCTTCCCTTTTAAATCACTAGTATTATTTTCTTAAAACACACACATATTCACATTTATTCGTATTTCCCCCTTCCTCCCTACCCGAAAGTATTCCTAAAAGGCAGAAAAGAGAAAAGATGTTCACTGGATGTCAGGTTCTATGAATTTAACCTACCAAAAACAGATCTAATCATTTTTGACTCACTATGAAATAAAAAGTGGACCAAATTTCAAGCCTCATGAACCTTTTATATTTGCATGTTATATAGTGATCACCTTTAATTTACTCACTGAGTGTAATGACTTCTTTTCAGATTTGCTATGGAATCATTTATGGAATGGGAGCTAAATCTTTGGGAGAGCAGATGGGCATTAAAGAAAATGATGCTGCCTGCTACATTGATTCATTCAAATCCAGATATACAGGTAGATAAACCTGGAGTGCCAATTATCTTCTAGATGCTATCCTTCAACTATCTTGCCATATTAATTGAAAAAAATTAGTGTTAGAAAATTTTCTGTTAACATTTCTATTACTCAAAAGTTTTTGTTAGGTATTATTAATTAAATAACATTAACCTTATCATTACTAAGATGGGCTTTTTTTTTTTAATAAAAGTAGGATCAGAAATGGAATAACAAAATCCAGTTGATGTATATGCTACTATGTCATTGTGAATATCTCATAAAGCCTTGGAATTGCCCTGTGCTGTAGGTTTAGATAGCTTTAATTCAAAACAATAAACCATTGATTAAATGTACCAGACACTATGAAAGAACAATTGCTGTTATAGAGCAGTTTGAGTATTACCATTTTAAATTATCTTTTCTTTTGGCATTTATTGAAGTACAATTTACATACAGTAAAATTCATTCCTTTCAGATGTGATTTGTATGAATTCTGACAAATGCACAGTTATATAATCTGCATCACAACCAAGATATGGAACCATTACCCTTTCACCCCAGAAAGCTACTTCATAGTCCTTTATAGTCAACCTTGTCCTCAATCCCCAAAAAGAATTTATTCACATATGACATGATCTTGTACATAGAAAATCATATGAATTCTACAAAAACAACTACTAGAACAAATAACTAAATTTAGAAAGGTCCCATCATACAAGGTCAATTTGTAAAATTCAGTTGTATCTTTATGAGCAATAATTAGTGAATGAAGTAAAAATAAAACCATTTCAATCACACCAAAATACATGAAATAGTTGGGATAAATCTAACAGTATGTGCAAGACTTTATTGAAAACTCTGAAACAATCCTGAGAGAAATTTAAGAATACTTAGATAAATGTGAGGGTTACCATGTTAATTTATTAGAAGGTACAATATTGTTGTGATGACAGTTCTCTATAAATTGTTCTATGGATTCAACTTAGTTCCAATCAAAATTTCATTAGACTTTTGTGTAGAATTTGACAAGCTTATTCTAAATTTATCTGGAAATTCAAAGGGCCTGGAATAATGAGAAAAATCTTGGGAGGAAAAGTATAATGTTGAATACTAACACCCCCTGAGTTCAAAATTTATTATAAAACTACAATAATCAATATAGGCATAAGTGTAGACATGGCAAACAATGGGTCACAATAAAGTGTTCAGAAATAGACCTATATATATATGTGGTGGTTTGATTTTCAATTAGGTTGCCATGGTAATTCAATGTAGGAAAGATGATCTTGTCAACAATTGGTTCTAGAACAACTGAATACTAGTATGGAAAAAAAGTAACTTCAACTTTTATCCCATACTTTATTCAAAAATTAGCTTGATATGGAGCATAGACTTAAAAGTAAAATCTAAAACTACAAATCTTCAGAAGGAAAAAACGGGGAAAATTCTTTGTGACATTGAGGTAGGCAAAGATTTCTTAGGTGATAATTACACTGAATTAACCATAAAAGATAAACATTGATAGATGATACCATTAAGAAAATGTAAGGCATGGTGCCTTGGTGGCTCAGTTGGTTAAGCGTCCGACTTTGGCTCAGGTCATGATCTTGTAGTTCATGGGTTCGAGCCCCATGTTGGGCTCTGTGCTGACAGCTCAGAACCTGGAGCCTGCTTCAGATTCTGTCTCTCTCTCTGTCTCTCTCTCTGCCCCTCCCCAGCTCACACTTTGTCTCTCTCTCTCAAAAATAAATAAACATTAAAAAAAATTTTTGTAAATAATAAAAGAAAATGTAAGGCAAACCACAGAAGAGAAAATATTTGCAGTTCCTATTATCCAACAAAGAACTTGCATCCAGAATATGTAAAAATTCTTACAACCAATAGTGAGAAAGCAAACAATCCAATAAAATAAAGGTGAAAAGATTTGAAAAGACTTTTCTCAAAAGAAAATATATGAATGACAACATCAAATATTATTGTTATTAGTCATCAGGGAAAAGCAAATGAAAACCACAAAGAGACACCATTACAAAAACACTACAATGGCTAAAATTAAAAACACTGTATCCCTTTTATATTGCTGGTAGGATTGTCAAATGGTACAACCACTTTGGAAAACAGTATGGCTCTTTCATAGTTAAACATACAGATAATTATGTGATCCGGCAATTCTACTATTGGGTATTTGCCCAAGAAAAATGAAAACAGCAAGAGAAAGACTGCTATGTGAATGTTATAGCAGTTTTATTCCTAACAACCAAATTGTCTATGAACAGGATCATGGATAAACAAATTTTGGTATATCTCTGCAATGGAATACTATTTAGCAAAAGAAGGCAGATTCAAATGAGAACATGCAGTACAATTCAATTTTTATGAATTTTTAAGAATATGAAAAACCAAGATATGGTATCATAAAGCAGATCAATGAGTTTTTTGGCTGATAATGGGGATCTAACTATAAAGGTGATATAAATGTTTCATATCTTGTAGTGTGCATTCATTTGTTAAAATACATCCAACTGTTCACCTAAAGTGCGTTCCTTCTGGGCACATGCACTCCAATGTTTATAGCAGTGCTAGCGACAATAGCCAGTGTGGAAAGAGCCCAACTGTCCACTAACTGATGAATGGATAATGAAGATGTAGTGTGTGTATACACACACACACACACACACACACACACACACACACACACACACTGGAATATTACTCGGTGATCAAAAAGAATTTGCAACAATGTGGATGGAACTAGAGTGTATTATGCTAAGTAAAATTAGTCAAAGAAAGACAAATATCATGACTTCACTCATATGTGGAATTTAAGATACAAAACAGATGAACACATCTGGAAGAGAAGCATATCTGGAAGAGAAGCAAAAATAATATAAAAACAGGGAGAGGGACAAAACATAAGAGACTCTTAAATACAAAGAACAAACTGAGGGTTGTTGGAGGGGTTTTGGGTTGCGGGGGTGTGCTAAATGGACAAGGGCATTAAGGAGGACACTTGTTGGGATGAGCACTGGGTGTTATATGTAGGTGATGAATTGCTGGATTCTACTCCTGAAATCATTGTTGCACTATATGCTGACTAACTTGGATGTAAATTAAAATAAAATAAAATGAAATAAAATTAATATACAAATTTTAAAAATTAAGTGGGTTCCTTCTACTGTATATAAACTATACCTCAAAATTGATTTTTTTAAATTTTTATTTAAATTTCAGTTGGCTAACACATAGTGTTAGATTAATTTTAGGTGTACAGTACAGTGATTCAACACTTCCATACATCACCCTGTGCTCATCATGGCAAGTGCACTCCTTAATCCCTATCACCTATTTAACCCATCCCTACATTCACCTACCCTCTGGTAACCATCAGTTTGTTCTCTATAGCTAAGTGTCTGCTTCTTGACTTGCCTCTCTCTTTTTTTCCCCTTTGCTTGTTTTTTTTTTTTTTTTTAAGTAGTTCTTTCCATCTCTGAATATTTGAGAGCCTCTGACAGGAGTCAGTTAAGACAATTTGTACAGGTGCAGTGTCTTCAGTCTTATCCTTTTTTTTTGCTCTTCACTCAACAATACCATAGTAATTCTTAAAGAGGAAAAGGGGAGAGCCTTACTGTTTTCTGAAATTCTTATGCTGGTGGTCATATATCACCAACAGCTTCACTTGGCAGGATTTTATCCCTTCCTTTCACCCACAATCCCCTCAAATGTCTCTCCTGTACCAGCCACACAGCAGAAATCTTCAGATGAGGGGTTTTAGTTAGGAGACATTAATGTTAATTATTTAGGATAAGCAGAGCTGTGAGAAAGCAGAGATTGCATGTATGAATAAAGATATATCAGCACAGTCTGTATACCTGATTATGTTTTAAATAGCACGGAGAAAGGATGTTGAGGAGAGAAGACCTCTCTAGCTCAGAAATAGGAATGAACAGTTGGCCTACCTGGAGCAACAAATTCAATCTGGAGATCTGTAAGATATAATAATGAGCCTATAGAGCAGAGGATGAATCCTGGTATAGGGAATATGAATGTGTTTGAAAAGTACACTGTACATATTTTTTTAAATTGTAAGAAGTGAGTCGTATATATTCCTAATGAAGTTTTTATTATTCTTGTATTAATTTCATTTAGGTCCTATTTTGATTGTAGCTCAGATGCTAACAAGGAGCTATTAGAATGTTTTAAGCCTGGAAGTGATAAGACCAAACAGTAAAAGAGGATTGATTAACACAACCAGAAAGAGCAGAAGAAGCTGATGAAAAGTAGCATAGAATAGTCTTAAGATCCTAGGTTTTAGTACCTGCTCTGTTCTGGAGTTTGGTTTCATATTTTTTGTTGGTGATAGAGTTAGATTATGTCATTTCTTTCTTTTTTTTTTTTTTTTTAGTGTTTATTTATTTTGAGACAGTGAGCAAGCGTGGGGGAAGGGCAAAGAGAGAGGAAGAGAGGGAGAATACCAAGCAGGCTTGTGCTGTCAGCGCAGAGCCCAATGTAGGGCTCAAACTCACAAATGGTGAGCTCATGACCTGAGCTGAAATCAAGAGTCAAATCCTTAACCAACTGAGCCACCCAGGTGCCCTGATTATGTTAGTTCTTTTTTTTTTAAGTTAATTTTTTATTTTTTTAAAATTTACATCCAAATTAGCATATAGTGCAACAATGATTTCAGGAGTAGATTCCTTAGTGCCCCTTACCATTTAGCCCATCCCCCCCCCCAACAACTCCTCTAGTAACCCTCAGTTTGTTCTCCATAGTTAAAAGTCTCTTCTGTTTTGTCCCCCTCCCTGTTTTTTTTTTGTTTCCCTTCCCTTATGTTCATCTGTTTTGTCTCTTAAAGTCCTCATATGAGTGAAGTCATATGATTTTTGTCTTTCTCTAATTTCACTTAGCATAATAACCTGCAGTTCCATCCACATAGTTGCAAATGGCAAGATTTCATTCTTTTTGATTGCCAAGTAATACTCCATTGTATATAATACCACATTTTCTTTATCCATTAATCCATCAATGGACATTTGGGCTCTTCCCATACTTTGGCTATTATTGATAGTACTGCTATAAACATGGGGGTGCATGTGTCCCTGCAAAACTGCACACCTGTATCCCTTGGATAAATGCCTAGTAGTACAAATGCTGGGTTGTAAGGTAGTTCTATTTTTAGTTTTTTGGGGAAACCTCCATACTGTTTTCCAGAGTGGCTGCACCAGCTTGCATTCCCACCAGCAATGCAAAAGAGATCCTCTTTCTCCGCATCCTCGCCAACACCTGTTGTTGCCTGAGTTGTTAATGTTAGCCATTCTGAGAGGTGTGAGGTGGTATCTCATTGTGGTTTTGATTTGCATTTCCCTGATGATGAGTGATATTGAGCATTTTTTCATGTGTCAGTTGGCCATCTGGATGTCTTCTTTGGAGAAGTGTCTATTCATGTCTTTTGCCCATTTCTTCACTGGATTATTTGTTTTTTGGGTGTTGAGTTTGATAAGTTCTTTGTAGATTTTGGATACTAACCCTTTATCTGATATGTCATTTGCAAATATCTTTTCCCATTCTGTTGGTTGTGTTTTAGTTTTGCTGATTGTTTCCTTCACTGTGCAGAAGCTTTTTATTTTGATGGGGTCCCAGTAGTTCATTTTTGCTTTTGTTTCCCCTGCCTCTGGAGACATGTTGAGTAAGAAGTTGCACAAGATCAAAGAGGTTTTTGCCTGATTTCTCCTTGAGGATTTTGATGGCTTCCTGTTTTACATTTAGGTCTTACATCCGTTTTGAGTTTATTTTTTTTGTCTGGTTTAAGAAAGTGGTCCAGGAGCGCCTGGGTGGCGCAGTCAGTTAAGCGTCCGACTTCAGCCAGGTCACGATCTCGCGGTCTGTGAGTTCGAGCCCCGCGTCGGGCTCTGGGCTGATGGCTCAGAGCCTGGAGCCTGTTTCCAATTCTGTGTCTCCCTCTCTCTCTGCCCCTCCCCCGTTCATGCTATGTCTCTCTCTGTCCCAAAAATAAATAAACGTTGGAAAAAAAAAAAAAAAAAAAGAAAGTGGTCCAGGATCATTCTGCATGTTGCTGTCCAGTTTTCCCAGCACCACTTGCTGAAGAGACTGTCTTTATTCCATTGGATATTCTTTCCTGCTTTGTCAAAGATTAGTTGGCCATACGTTTGTGAGTCCATTGCTGGGTTCTCTATTCTGTTCCATTGATCTGAGTGTCTGTTCTTGTTTCAGTACCATACTGTCTTGATGATTACAGCTTTGTAGTATAGCTTGAAATCTGGGATTGTGATGCCTCCTGCTTTGGGTTTCTTGATTATGTGAGTTCTAAAATCATTTTGTTCCTAACTTTCTGAGTCTACAAAAAGTGAATGAAAGTTTATATGCAAAGATTTGATGATGTGATATAGTGTTAAGAATCATGGTGGGGTTTTGATATATTTCATTATATTGAAGCTAGTGAATGAGATTAAGAATGGACTTTGGTTATAATTATTTTTGTATTTTCTTTGTAGGGATTAATCATTTCATGAGAGAGACAGTGAAGAATTGTAAAAGAGATGGATTTGTTCAGACCATTTTGGGAAGACGTAGATATTTACCAGGAATCAATGACAACAACCCTTATCATAAAGCTCATGTATGTTGAGATTTCTCTGGATTTTTAACTTAATATTTTAATGACATATACTTTTCAACCAAGACTAAACACTGCTAATTTTCCTTTTAGGAATCAGTAGCCTATTAATTGGATCTTCTGTTTCACTAAGGACTTTGAAATAATGGCACATGCCAGTATTTGCTGAATGTAGTCCTTACAGACCAATGTAAATATGAGTTCACTTAATAATACTTCAAATACTTTAAAGACGTTCTGTTTCAGTAAGCCAGTTATTTTTTTAGTTTTGCTAATAAATTATAAATGTAATTCTTACATTTGCTAATTGTTCTTTGTTTCAGATATTGTATACCAATTTGTCATATCACACAAAGTTTCCGATTTTTTCAGATTAGCCCATCATTAAATTGTGGTTCATTCATTTTTGGCTCATTCTACTTGTTTATTTTTTTTATTTTTTTGAGAGAGAGAGAGTGATAGCACACATGCACACATGCAGTGAAGAGGCAGAGGGAGAGGGAGAGATTGAATCTTAAGCAGGTTCCATGCCTAGCGGGAAGCCCCATCATGCCCTGAGCAGAAATTAAGTTAGACACTTAACCGATTGAGCCACCCAGGCTCCCCTTGTTTATTTATTTTAATAACACTGGCTCACCCAAAGTTATTAGGATTTCAAAATATTGAAAAAGGCTATTTTTGTTTCCGATTCTGTGTCTCCCTCTCTCTCTGCCCCTCCCCTGTTCATGCTCTGTCTCTCTCTATCCCAAAAATAAATAAAAAGGTTGAAAAAAAAATTAAAAAAAAAAAAAAGAAAAAGGCTATTTTTAACACCATTTAAAATATTTATTGATGGTATTTACTAAAATTATGATTTAAAGTCTCTGAAATGTTTGGGACCCACAGAAGTATTCTATGCATCTGAACATTTAAATTTCTATTATAGTCCACATCTTCCTATTTCAACTGGTTATATTTTATCTTCTCCAATACTTCTGCATGTCAGTGCCCACTATACATTGTATGTAATGAAAATACCCAGCCCCCCCACAGTGCTAGACTTCTGTCTGGAGCTAGAAATCTTCAGAGCACTAATGTTCTTAAGGACCGTGGAAGAATAGATGGCTTTTTGTTACTTCTTCACTCTGTAGCCTACCATATACACAGACATCAAATATTTATCAGGCTTTTACCATCTCTCTAAATGAGTTGTCCCTTAGGAGTAGATAATTTTCTACTGGTCAGATGGAGCCAGCTAGTGGAAGGCTTTAATGGCAGGCTGAAAATTTTAGACTTGATCTAACAGGAGTTATATTTCTTGGGATTTACATGATTAAAAATGGCGGATAGATTTATTGATGTAAATCAACCATACAAGTTTTTGAAAACTAATATTTTTGTACCTAAAGATGTGAGGGTAAGACTTTACATGCCAAATCCTTAGGAGTTAAAGTTCTGATTCATTATGTTGTTGCTGAGAAAAAAGAAAATTCCAACTCTCAGAATTACGAATAGATATAACCAGATTTAATTTTTGGTTTGCTTTGGTTTGGCTTCACTTTTTGTTTAAAATTTTATTGTATTGAAAAATATACATAGAGAAAGTACAGGAAACAAATGTAAATTTTAGTAAATTATCACAGAACTACACCTGTGTAACTACCACTCAAGTCAAATAGAATATTGTCAGCACCTTAGAAGGTCCCTTGATGACTCCTATTCACTACCCACTGCCTCCCAGAAATAATCACTATCATAATCTAGCCCTATAGTTTTATATATTTTTGATCTCTATGTACATCATATGTTGTATTCTTCTGCCTATAGCTTCTTTCACTCAAAACTGCATAGGCGAGTCATTCATGTCATCTTACATAAAGGTAGCTGTTTTACTTTATGATAGTATCTTTATGATTATACCACAGTTTATCCATTTTTCCATTGATGGGAATTTAGGTTTCCAGTTTGGAGTTATTATGGATATTGCTGATTTGAAAATTCTTATCCAAGGTTCTTGGTGCACATATTTTTCCATTTATGTTTGGTAAAGAACTAGTCTTAGAATTGCTGCTTATCTTCAACTTTAGTAGATAAAGCCAAATTGTTTTTGATGGTGGTTGCAGCAATCTGTCCTCCTTTCAGAAGTGTGTGCAAGTTCTCACTGCTCTGTGTTCTTGCCAACATTTGCTATTAAGGTGATATAATTTTAGCTATTCTGTTGTGTTTAAGGTAGTATCTTGTAGTTTTACTTTGCATTTCCTTGAATACTAATGAGGTAAGTAACTTAACAAATATTTATTAGCTATTACTTAATTCTTTCTTGGAAAAGTGGTTTTTCAAGTCTTCTTTTTCATTTTTTGTTGTTGTTGTTGTTGTTGTTGTTGAGTTGTCGGTCTTTTTCTTATATGTAGGAAAGACATAATGATTACATGTTGGGAAAATAGTCTCTTCCACACTGTATCTTGCCTTTTCATTCTTACTAGTAACTTTAGATGAGGAGAGGGTAATAATTTGGATTAGCCTTTAAATTTTAATTGAGATATAACATGTGTAGTAAAGGGTACAAATCTTAACATGTAAAGTTTAACATGTTTATACCCATATAACCACCGTCCTGTCATGATATGGAACTTTTCCAACACCCTAGAAGGCTTCTTTATGTTCCCTCCAAATCAGTACTATCCACCTCCCACCCCAGCACACACATAAAACTATAGGTTAGTTTTATATGAACTTGATTTTTATTTAAATGCAATCGTACCATGTGTACTCTTGGATCTGACTTTTTTCATTCAAATATAGGTCTGTGAGATTCATGAGTTTCATGTGCAGCTATAGTTCATGTCTTTATTTAGCTGACATAGTAGAAACATACCAACAATTTATCCATTCTAACATTTCATTTCTCCATTGGCAGACATTTGGACTCTTTCCAGGTTTTGCCTATCATTAATAAAGCTGCTATGAACATTCTCACATATGTCTTTTGGTGAACATATGTACCTAATTTCATTACTTTTAGAGTGGAACTGGTGAGTCATAGATTAAGCACATTTATACTTTAGTATATACTGCCTAACAGTTTTACAGAGCAATTACAGAGCAACAATTAACGTTGCCACCAGCTCTGTTTATCTACATTCTTGCCTTGGTTGATATCATTGGTCTTTTTAATTTTAGCTATTCTGGTAACTGTGTAATGGTACCTCATTGTGCTTTCAATTTGCCTTTTTCTGATGACTAATGATGTTTAGCTCCTTTTTTGTTTATGGCTATTTGGATGTCTTCTTTTGTGGAGGGTCTGTTTAAATTTTTTTTTGGACAGTGCCACACCGTCTTAATGATGCAGATTTGCCTTTTCTTTATTTGCCTTTTCATATAACTTGCACAAGCAGCTTGTAAATTTCTATATAAACACAAAATCCTGCTGGGATTTTTTTGAGATTGCCTCGAGTTCATAGATCAAGATGAGTTTGATGGATATATTTATACACTTCAGTTTTCCAGCCCATGAACATGATATATCTGTCCATTTATTTAGGTCTATAGTTTTTAAATTCTCTCAATGTATAGTTTTGGGGAATTAGATTTATCTAGGTATTTGAAACTTTTTGATGCTGTTGCAAGTTGTATCTATTTTTGCTCTTTTCCTTCCTTTTTTACATTTTCTAAGCCTTTGTTGCTGGTACATAGAAATAGTTTTTATTGTTGTTCTTTTGTCTAGAAGCCTTGCAAATATTGTAATTACTAATTCTAATCATTTATCTGTAGATACTTTTAGAAACTCTATCTTCCCAATTATTATCTGCAAAGTAGTTTTTATAACTACTTTTCTAAACTTTGTTCCTTTTATTACTTTTGTTTGACTTATAAGCCAGGACAGTGTTGAATACAAGTAGTGATAGTGAGCATCTTTACCTCTTTTCTGATCTCAGAGGGGAATTTTAAACATTCACTGCTATGTAGAACTTTCCTTTAGGTTTATTAGTGCCTTTGTCAGATAAAGTAAGCTCCCTTATATATTTGCGTGCAGGGCATAGAGGTTCTGTCATACCTGCTCACTTCTGCTCTTGTAGTGCAAATACAGTCATAGACAGTACATAAATGGGTGACTGTGTGGTTGTGTTCCAATCAAACTTTATTTACAGAAATAGAAGCTAGGCCACATTTGGCCTGCAGGCTGTAGTTTGCTCAGCCCTGGTCTAACTGTCTTTGATGTAATCTGCCTTTCTTCTCTAGGTTGATTTCCATACAATATTTTTCTTTCTGTCTGGTTTACAGTAGATTTTCTGTGATAAACCTAAATTGCGTGTGTGTTTTTAATTTACGTGTTTCTCTGTGGATATGTGTGTTTGATTGATCCATTAAGAGTGTTAGGACTTTTTCAATCTGTGGCTTGATATCTTTTGTTGATTTTAGAAGATTTTTAGTCATTTCTTCTTTAATTATTGCTTCATTACATTCTCTCCTCTCTTTCTGGGACTCCTATTATAAAAATTTTAAACCTTTTTAAAAAATTCCTCATGTTTCATTTCCTCTGTTTGGCTCTTTCCATGTTTATATTTCATCATGCTAAATTCTGGATTTTTCTTCAAACTTATCTTTCAATTTACTGATTTTCAATTTGCTATTGAACCCAACTATTAAGCTTTTCTATTCAAAGTGATATAGAACTTTTCCACAACTCCATAAGGCTTCTTTATCCTCCCTCCACATCAATACCATCCCCCTTCCCCCACCCTTCCATACACACACACCCAACTACAGGGAAGGTATTATTTAAGTGCTTTAAGTTCTGTTTTTTTTTTTTTTTTCCTGGCTCAGATTGATTTTTTTTTTTTAGTTGGAGTATAATTAATATATAGTATTATATTAGTCTCAGGTGTATGATATAATGATTCAACAATTCTATGCATTTCTCAGTGCTCATCAACCTAAGTGTACTCTTAATCCCCTTTATGTATTTCATCCTCACACCCTCCCCTCTGCCCCCGGCAACCACCAGTTTGTTCTGATTTTTCTTTGTTTTGTTTCTTAAATTCCACATATGGGTAAAATCATACAGTATTTGCCTTTCTCTGATTCACTTATTTCACCTTGTATTATACCCTCTAGGTCCATCTATGTTGTTGCAAATGGCAAGATTTCATTCTTCTTTTTTATGGCTAAGTGATATTCTATTGTATACATTACCACATCTTCTTTATCCATTCAACTATGGATGGACACTTGGATTGCTTCCATATGTTGGCTATTGTAAATAATCCTGCAATAAACATAAGGGTCCATACATCTTTTTGAATTAGTGTTTTTGTTTTCATTTGGTAAATATCCAGTAGTGGAATTACTGGATTATATGGTAGTTCAATTTTTAGTTGTTTTGAGGAATCTCCATACTCTTTTCCACAGTGGCTGCACTATTTTGCATTCCCACCAACAGTGCATGAGGATTCCTTTTTCTCCACATTCTCAGCAATGCTTGTTCTTGTCTTTTTGACAAAATGCAACATCAATTCATAATAAAAACTGTCAACAAAGTGGATTTAGAGGGAACTTACCTCAGCATAATAAAAGCCATGTGTGGAAAAACCCACAGCTAGCATCATACTCAATGGTGAAAAACTGAGAACTTTTCCTCTAAGATTAGGAACAAAACAAGGATGCCCACTCTCACGCTTTTATTCAACATAGTACTAGAAGTCTTAGCCACAGCAATCAGACAAGAAAAAGAAATAAAAGTCATCCAAATTGGTAAGGAAGAAGTAAAACTTATTTGCAGATCACATGATACTGTATATAGAAAACTATAAAGACTCCACCAAAAAAGTACTGGAACTGTTAAATGAATTCAGTGAAGTCACAAGATACAAAACTAATTTACAGCAATCTGTTGCATTTCAATACACTAACAATGAAGTAACAAAAAGAGAAATTAAGGAAATAATCCCATTTACAACTACACTAAAAATAATAAAATACCTAAAAATAAACTAAACCAAGGAGATGAAAGACCTTTACTCTGAAAATTATAAAATGTTGATGAAAGAAATTGAAGATGACACAAACAAATGGAAAGATATTTCATGCTCATGGATTGTAAGAACAGATATTGTTAAAATGTCCATACGACTCAAAGCAATCTACAGATCAATGCAATCCCTGTCAAAATATTAACAGCATTTTTCACAGATCTAAATAATCCTAAAATTTGTGTGGAACCACAAAGACCCCACATAGCTAAAGCAATCTTGCAAAAGAAGAACTAAGCTGGAAGTATCACAATCCCAGATTTCAAGATAATACTTCAAAGCTGTAGTAAGTTCTGTTATTTTTATTTTTCAGTTATAGAGTTTCCACTCTGCTCTTATTTTATGGTATTTGACTTTTTGCTGAAATATTCAATTTCATCTTTTATTTTCTTGAATATATTTTACTTTGCTTTATAGTCTAATAAATTTGATAATAGTTTATAGTATAATTAAAGTCTTGAACTTGTATCCCTGTAGTCTGTTCCTATTGCCCTTTGTTTTTCTTAGTTTTCTACAAAAATAGATATATTGTCTCAACTCCTTTTTGTCCTGGTGACTTTTTATTGAGTGTCAAATGTTGTTTATAAATGACTGTGGGTATAATTTGAAGCTTGTATGATAATGTTACCTTTATTCAGAAGATTTATATTTGCTTTTGGCAGGAGATTAGAATGATCAACAATATAGGGTTACTTTGATCTAATTTCAGGAATAGAAATGATTTAAAGCAAGGATGTTAAGACCAGACTATTTCTAATTTATCTTTTTCTTAGGGTGTTAGTTTTGAAGTGGCAAGTTGATGGTTTACTAGCCCTCCTACTTCATGACCCTTGTTTGTTCCCCAGACCCCTCAAAACCATTAAGCTCTGCTCAAAGATTCTTTCAGCTGCCTCTTCTGGAAACTGTTGATGTCCCTGAGAGAAATGGTGGCCTCCAACGCCAGGGTTTTCTTTCTCTCTTAGCTCTCTAGGTTCTATAATTTTTCATTTCCTTTTTAATCATCTGATTCAAAGAGGTGTTCTCCATGCAGCTTTTCTGGTTGTTATCAGTGGGAGGGTTTGTCCTAATGGACTAATCTCCTATTACCAGAAACCTATATTTTTTATGTACATGAGAAAACCTTGGTCATGAGGGGACTGAGATTGTAAGACACAAAGCCGAAGACTGCCAAGTTTTTTTTTTTTATTTTAGAAGAGAATCAGGGAAGTATAATATCATGAGAGTGAATTATATATCTTAGTTTTATTTTTATGCTTGCTTATGTCACAGTAAAAACCACCCAAAAATTTCAATGGCTTATAATAAGAAGCTTTATTTTTAATTCACGCTAGACTTAAGCTCTTGGTTGACTGTGGCTTTACTCCATATTTTCTTCATTCTGGAATTCAGAATGAAGGAAAAGTCTCTGGGATAAGCCTTTTTGTGTGTGTGTGTGACAATGTTGGGTAGCTCTTAAAACTTCTTAGATGGGGCTTATGTCAATTTTAGTCACATTCATTCAGCAAAATAAATCAAGGTCAACAGTTTAGAGTGAACAACACTTGAAATTATATGGCATTGGGTGGGGCAGCAAGTAATAGCAACAATAACACAGTCCACTACACAGAGGAGAGGAGTCAGTAGAACTCTGAAATTTAATCATTCTTAAAGCAATGACAACTGAATGGGTTTAGAGTGGATTTGTCAGCATCTGATGAAAAAATAATTTTAAAAAATGTTTAGGGACACCTGGGTGGCTCAATTGGTTGAGCATCTGATTTCGGCTCAGGTCATGATCTCGTGGCTCATGAGGTCAAGCCCTGAATTGGTCTTGCTGCTGTCAGCTCAGAACCTGCTTCAGATCCTCTGTTGCCCCCTCTGTCTGGCCCTCCCCTACTCATGCTGTCTCTCAAAAATGAATAAACATTGGGGCGCCTGGGTGGCGCAGTCGGTTAAGCGTCCGACTTCAGCCAGGTCACGATCTCACGGTCCGTGGGTTCGCTCCCTGCGTCAGGCTCTGGGCTGATGGCTCAGAGCCTGGAGCCTGTTTCCGATTCTGTGTCTGCCTCTCTCTCTGCCCCTCCCCCGTTCATGCTCTGTCTCTCTCTGTCCCAAAAATAAATAAACGTTGAAAAAAAATAAATGTTTAAAAAAATGAATAAACATTAAAAAAAAGTCTATCTCTTTAGTAGGTATTTACTATACTAGGAGTTGGTTGTAGTCCAGGTAACAGGGAACTAGAGAATACATCTCAAGTTACATAGATCCGTCCAGTGTGTAGACCCCTCCCACTTTCTGAGAGCTTTTGGGAGAGTAGGCATGGTATTCATGGATAGGTTCTACTTTGGATATTAAACCAGATGTCCATCCCTGCTGCCTTAGGATCATCACTTTTAGCAGCTGTGGTAGCAAGAGTTTTGGGTAAGTTCTAACTTAATATCTAGGAATCTAGGGTCTGCATTTTTACTAGCAGCTAATGATTAGCTCCAGCAGCTCATTAAAAAGCTCTGATTCATACCAGAGGGCTCCTGACCTGCTGGGGCCAAACCCTACATAGGACCAACAAACCACTGATATGGGGAATGTGTTTGGAACATTCTAACTCACATCACAAAGAATGTATTCTACTTATATCTGTTTAAGATTAAGAGGAGTTACTTTTCAAGGAATAGGTCTTTTAGAATGAACAGCTAGAACATTGATGATATATGTTTATAAAATAATTTTGAGTTGCTAAATACATTTTAAGTGTAATGCAGTTTTTGATTCTGAGTGTTGAAGATTTCTAAACTGAAGCCATCTGACCTTCTTCTGTTTAGTCTGTTCTCATGGGGACGATAGCCCAGAATCTAGAGCCCTGGATCATTCTAGTTGCTATTCTTAAGATGCAGTTTAATAGTTGATGTCTTGGGTCACATCTTGGTCTAGATTTCCAGTCTGGTTACAGATGTAAGCACTGATCTGTGGACACTAAAAGCAGGTATGAAACAATGTTGGTATATCTAATGGAGCACCTGTTATTGTTACTGTTTTTCATAGGCTGAGCGTCAGGCCATCAACACAACAGTCCAAGGTTCAGCAGCTGATATCGTCAAAATAGCCACAGTTAACATTCAGAAGCAATTAGAGACCTTGCACTCAACCTTCAAATCCCATGGTCATCGGGAGGGTATGCTCCAAAGCGACAGAACAGGTTTGTTCACAAACGAGGACCCTGCTGTAACATTAAGATTAACGGTATCAGAAAAGACAAAGGGAAGTATTTTTATATATTAATTCTCAGCATTTTTCATGCATTTTGATCTCATGATGTTTTTACACTCTTAGAATTACTAAGGGTCCCAAAGAACTTTATGTAGGTTATATATAGTAATATTTACCATATTAGAAATTTAAACAGGGAATTCAAAAACATATATTAATGTTTAAAAATAATAACAAATAATAAACTCACTACATGTTAGCATAAGTAATATATTTTCATAGAAACAACTACATGTTTTAGAACAAAAGAAAATTGGTGATATTTACGTTTCTGCAAGTCTCTTTAATGTCTGGCTTAAGAGAAGACATTTGGATTTCTGCATTGGATTCAGACATTTGGATTTGTTGCAATCTCACCTGCCCTGTAACCTCTGGAAAACCCTCTATAGTCTTGGGTGATAATGTCCCAGTTTGTGGGAGACGGATGGGTTTCCTAGGATATGGGACTTTTAGTAGTAAATCCAGGCTAACTGGTCCCTTTGTTGTACTTATGAGAGAAGGAGGCTGGAAAAGGAAAATAACCTGAGTGTTATTATGAAAATAGTTTTGGCTTTGCAGATACTTTGAAGGTGTCTTAGGGATCCTCTTGTCCTTAGATAGCACCTTAAGAATATGTTGATTTTCCAATTCATCACCTTCCATGTTCTCTCTCAAGTCTGGGAATATATTCTGAGCTGACTTCCTTATCACAACATTTCTTTGCCAGTATTGTTGTCTCTTCTTGTTCTTATTTTACTAAGTTCTCTCCTTGTTGCTTGGATAGATTATTTCTTGTTCTAACAAGTAGATTCCTTTCTCTGTTTGTCCCATGTCCATACTTTTGCTTTAAATACCATTTCAGTGTGATTGAGATTACCAAACCATGACTGCAGCCAAGTTTTAAATTTTCCTGGGAAGAAGTTAAGGTTTTGGGCATAAAGGAGAAGAATCAGTTCTATTGGAGATGGGGCAGAAAATGTGAGATCAGCTGTTGAGGATGGAATTTGCTGTTTCTAGGAGAGACATATAAATATGTTATAGAGAATAATATAGTCAGTTACACAGATAATAAAGATGTTCATTTCTACATACAAAAAATACACAGATATGAAGACTTGCCCACCAAATGCGGATTGTTAATTTTATTGTCTTCTCTCTCCCCCATATATCTAAGGCTACTCGTTTAACATTTTGTGTGTGGGAGTCAATGTGCACACATACTGCACACACACACCACACACATTCTCTTTGTCTTTATAGAGAGAATATATGATCAAACTTATTTAGGGAATAACACTGTACTATGTGCTTTAGAGGATTTGGGAGTAAAAGTTATCAACCTCTTTACATTTAAACTCTAAAGAAAAGAAGGGAAGATATGATTCCTGACTGAAATATTTCTGTAACTCTTCACAGCAGAGTGATGCAGTATCTGAATGAGGATATAGACAAGAACAACAGCCTTTAGAGTGGGTGGAAAGCAATGTGGGTATGTCACTGAGGATACATCCTGATGCCATGCTGGGTTAAAAGTAGTGGTAGGTTAGTGGGATCAAAGGGAGCTGAACCTGAGGAAGCAGACCACACCAGGAACAGGAAGATCGTAGCATTCAGAGTCAGAAGCCAAATAACTAGGAGAAATCAAGAGAAGGAAGGTATGGTGACTAGAAAGCAGAAAAGCATCCTGACAACCAGTGATGTGAGATAAGTGGGCCCGGTGGGGCAGAGCAGATTTCAGTTAGATGCACAGCCTTGCAGCACTGATATGGAAGCATCTTGCCACAGCCTCATCTACCTTTGTTCTCTTACCCTCTAAGAGCCACCTGTGAGAAAACTTGGGCTGCAGACAGTGACAGCTAAAGAATCCTCTCTGAGAGAAGCACGAGATATGAGGAAGATAGTGTTTGTGCTGCCGAGAAGAATCAGTAGGAAATTGGGGTGGCAGAAAGGAAGGACTGCTGTGAGCTATGGGCAAATGATTAAAGGCAGTTACTCTAAAGGTATTATTGTGGGACCTTATCTTAGTGATCACTGGGACATTATTTGTACCACCAGGCTCAGCTTGTTAGGAAATAGTAACTGAGTCTGATATAGTGGAGTTACAGGTTCTTTTGAGAGTCTACTGAAAGATCATCTCCACAGAAAAATGTACAGGTATAGACTCTTACATATAACTTCAAGGGATTCATACAGTCTCTGAAGTCTTCATCTGAACCCTAGGTTTAGAATTACTTGTCTACAGTGTTTGGTCCAGTTGGGAAAGCACCAGTTCTACCACAGTGACGCTGCTGGCCATAAAAATGTGGCAGCAAATGTTCTTCTTATAATACACTGCCTAATGACAATACCAGTTCACTTTCCTGGAGCATGGATCAGGGCCCATACTACTCTGGTGCTATTACCAGAGTTGGTAGTGAGGGTGCCATGGAAAGTGAAGATGTAGGTTGTTTTATAAGAAATAAATTAGATGGCATTTGGAGCAGAGTTCTTCAAACTCCATTTACTGACTGTTAGATTCCTCCTTTATGGGAGGAAGTTGATGGAGATTTGAGTTTACCTGATAGGTCAGCAGTCAGCAAGTAGATATTTTCCTAGTAGTTCTAAATCTCATGTGTTTTAATCTCTTGATTAAAAATTCCCAGAGTTTCGGGGCGCCTGGGTGGCGCAGTCGGTTAAGCGTCCGACTTCAGCCAGGTCAGGATCTCGCGGTGCGTGAGTTCGAGCCCCGCGTCGGGCTCTGGGCTGATGGCTCAGAGCCTGGAGCCTTGTTTCTGATTCTGTGTCTCCCTCTCTCTCTGCCCCTCCCCCGTTCATGCTCTCTCTCTCTGTCCCCAAAATAAATAAAAACGTTGAAAAAAAAATTAAAAAAAAATTCCCAGAGTTTCTCAAAATCCCTAAAAAATGATTCTTTTATGGTACAGTGACACGCTGATCAGTTTTATCCCTTTCTTCGTGGCACAGGATTGTTACCAAAAAGAAAACTGCAAGGGATGTTCTGTCCGATCAGAGGAGGCTTCTTCATCCTTCAACTCCATGATGAGCTCTTATATGAAGTGGCAGAAGAGGATGTTGTTCAGGTATTTTTGCAGTGGTTGTGCCCATTTCATAGAATGCTAAGACGCTGTAGATCAGGTTAAGATGCATGAGATTTCTGGAATCCTTCCTTAGTCCCAGGATGGGACTATATATATAGCTATATAAATGTTGAGTCCTAAAGGGCTGAGAAAGAGCTAAGAGTGCTCGGTTTCATACTCCTATTTATTTTTATTTTTATTTATTTAATTTGAGAGAGAGTATGTGTGTGAGAGGGGGAGAGGAGCAGGGGTGAAGAGGGAGAGAGAGAGGGAGGGAGAGAGAGAATGAATCTTAAGCAAGCTCCATGCTTAATGCAGAGCTCGACTCAGGGATCCATCCCACGACCCTGGGACCATGACCTGAGCTGAAATCAAGAGTCAGATGCTCAACTGACTGAGCCACCAGGTGCCCTTCATACTCCTTTTAAAAGAAACTTTTGATGCAGGGCTGTTTTTCTTTGGGAGAAGTTAGATGAGAGTTTGGAGCTCTGCCATGAGGGTTTAAAAACTTAGCATTCCCAAAGAAACTGATAGAGCCCTGCTCTTCAATGCAGACCAGTTTGGGATGGCTGGCTCTTTTTGGATTTTGAGTTTTAAGCACCATGAGGTGAAGAGCTCTAGTCTGGCTTATCACCTCAGTGGGTGGGTTGGGAAACATTCTTTGATTGGGAGAAGAGTTTGTTAACCTCTTTTTTTTTTTTCTTTGTAGGTAGCTCAGATTGTCAAGAATGAAATGGAAAATGCCGTAAAACTTTCTGTGAAACTGAAAGTGAAAGTGAAAATAGGTGCGAGCTGGGGAGAGCTGAAGGACTTTGATGTGTAATTGTATGGCTAAATCCTCTGGGGAAGCCTGGTGTAGGTACAACTTACCCTTTCACCTATTTCAGGAAAACCAACTCTCAAATCTTGATGGACTTGGGATAGTAATTTTAGTGAGAGTTTCAAAATGTATATCAGAGTTTATTCTCTATAGCATAAAAAAAAACTTTTTTGAGGCAAAATACCAAGTTTAACAATTATATTTATTCTCAAAGAGAATGTATGAAGTTGCCTTTTATAGTTCTGTGTGGCTCTAATCAGGTTCAGAACACATGACTGAAACATGCACTTAGCACTTTGGGTCCTCATCTGTCTGGTTGAGCATGATGGCTCAATGACTGCTGTCTCTGGGGCATTTTCAGCTCTGTCCAGGATGCAGACACTTGTGATGTAGACACCAGCAGGAACCATTGGCAGATAGGGATTTGGTTTCTTATATACCGCCATGCTTAGGCATTCTGGTGATTTTTCTCTAATATCAACTTAAGACTAGTGGAGCTGTATTTCTATGCAGCATTGGCTAATAAATTCTGAACTCTATAAAGAGGTAGACTCGATATGGGTGCAGTCTAGGAATGGATTTTCATGAAATGGTGTTTCTTCTTCCTTTTCCTTCCTCAGTTCATTCAATGAATGTGTTTGCAATACTTAGGTATTATAAAATAAGCTACACCTCTTCAAGAGGCATCCTGTTCTGTAAAATCAGATGTTTATACTACAGTTTAATATAATACTGCCAGAGAAAGAAGACACCCCTGTATCCATCTCCTACTGCCTCTTTCTGTGTTTGTGGCATGGTGAGAATACCCATGCTGAAGACATTATCTTTTATAATCAGTCAGAGGTGTATAACTGACTTTTTTGCTGTTGAAATAAAATGAATTTATAAGAAACTTTATATCGGTAGTTTTATTTTTAATTCAAAAAAATTTTTTTAATGTTTATGTATTTTTGAGAGACAGAGGGCAAGCAGGGGGAGGGACAGAGAGAGAAGGAAACACAGAATCTGAAGCAGGCTCCAGGCTCTGAGTGTCAGCACAGAGCTCAACACAGGGCTTGAACTCACCAACTGTGAGATCAGCACCTGAGCCAAAGTCGGATGCTTAACCAGCTGAGCAACCCAGGTGCCTCTCAGTTTTTAAAATTGTGTTTCATCTAAGAGTATCTGAAACCTGTGTTCCTAGTATTTATTCTAGGATTTGCATTGTTCAGTTTGTTCAACAACATCTGTGCACATAGGAAATGTTTCTTTTATTCTTTTTTTTTTTTTCAACGTTTATTTATTTTTGGGACAGAGAGAGACAGAGCATGAACGGGGGAGGGGCAGAGAGAGAGGGAGACACAGAATCAGAAACAGACTCCAGGCTCTGAGCCATCAGCCCAGAGCCCGACATGGGGCTCGAACTCACGGACCGCGAGATCGTGACCTGGCCGAAGTCGGACGCTTAACCGACTGCGCCACCCAGGCGCCCCATGTTTCTTTTATTCTTTTTTTGTTCTTCCTTTCTTTTTTTTTTTTTAATATATGAAATTTATTGTCAAATTGGTTTCCATACAACACCCAGTGCTCCTCCCAAAAGGTGCCCTCCTCAATACCCATCACCCACCCTCCCACCCCCCATCAACCCTCAGTTTGTTCTCAGTTTTTAACAGTCTCTTACGCTTTGGCTCTCTCCCACTCTAACCTCTTTTTTTTTTCTTCCCCTCCCCCATGGGTTCCTGTTAAGTTTCTCAGGATCCACATAAGAGTGAAACCATATGGTATCTGTCTTTCTCTGTATGGCTTATTTCACTTAGCATCACACTCTCCAGTTCCATCCATGTTGCTGCAAAGGGCCATATTTCATTCTTTCTCATTGCCACGTAGTACTCCATTGTGTATATAAACCACAATTTCTTTATCCATTCATCAGTTGATGGACATTTAGGCTCTTTCCATAATTTGGCTATTGTTGAGAGTGCTGCTATGAACATTGGGGTACAAGTGCCCCTATGCATCAGTACTCCTGTATCCCTTGGATAAATTCCTAGCAGTGCTATTGCTGGGTCATAGGGTAGATCTATTTTTAATTTTCTGAGGAACCTCCACACTGCTTTCCAGAGCGGCTGCACCAATTTGCATTCCCACCACCAGTGCAAGAGGGTTCCCGTTTCTCCACATCCTCTCCAGCATCTATAGTCTCCTGATTTGTTCATTTTGGCCACTCTGACTGGCGTGAGGTGATACCTGAGTGTGGTTTTGATTTGTATCTCCCTGATGAGGAGCGACGCTGAACATCTTTTCATGTGCCTGTTGGCCATCCGGATGTCTTCTTTAGAGAAGTGTCTATTCATGTTTTCTGCCCATTTCTTCACTGGGTTATTTGCTTTTCGGGTGTGGAGTTTGGTGAGCTCTTTATAGATTTTGGATACTAGCCCTTTGTCCGATATGTCATTTGCAAATATCTTTTCCCATTCCGTTGGTTGCCTTTTAGTTTTGTTGGTTGTTTCCTTTGCTGTGCAGAAGCTTTTAATCTTCATAAGGTCCCAGTAATTCACTTTTGCTTTTAATTCCCTTGCCTTTGGGGATGTGTCGAGTAAGAGATTGCTACGGCTGAGGTCAGAGAGGTCTTTTCCTGCTTTCTCCTCTAAGGTTTTGATGGTTTCCTGTCTCACATTCAGGTCCTTTATCCATTTTGAGTTTATTTTTGTGAATGGTGTGAGAAAGTGGTCTAGTTTCAACTTTCTGCATGTTGGTGTCCAGTTCTCCCAGCGCCATTTGTTAAAGAGACTGTCTTTTTTCCATTGGATGTTCTTTCCTGCTTTGTCAAAGATGAGTTGGCCATACGTTTGTGGGTCTAGTTCTGGGGTTTCTATTCTATTCCATTGGTCTATGTGTCTGTTTTTGTGCCATGTTTCTTTTATTCTTAATCAGTTATCAGAAGAGCTCTTTTATATTCACTAACTAGAATTTTTTAAAAGACAGTTGCTTTATAAACAAAGTGTAATATACTATTACACAAAATACTCAGATATGCCTTTTGGGGGATGAGAAGGAATGGGCAGGAGATGGCACAGATAAGAGGGAAGTTATAGCATTATTCTTGAGTTTTTTCTGTATTCACTTCCACCATCTTTCTCAGAGAGAAAAGTGGTAGTGCTGTCATTGTTCAGATGATCTTGAGATGCGGCACAAGAGAAGGCTCATTCTGTTTACTTGTGAGTATTCTCCAAGTATGAGTGTGGATATATAGGTCATCTCCACCTGATTTTCTGCAGCATTTGCTCCGTATGTGTAGTCACATGCATTTTCTCTTCCTTTTGATTTATCAGCTGGACTTAAAACAAACAGCTCTTGCTTTGCATGACTCAATTATGCACAAATTCCACTTACCATAGTTTACTTAAGTAACACTAGTGCCCCTAATAACACAACTGAAATTTTACTTACCATGGTATTATAACTGAGTAATTGCATAAAGTTCAAACGTCACTTTTCAGTCCACAAATCATTATGTAAACAACAGATGAGCACTGTGGTAAGCAGAATGCACCCCCCCCATCCCCATCCTAACTCCTCAAACCTATGAACACGTTATATTACATGTTAAAAGGGACATTGCTGATGTGATTAAGTTAGAGACCTTGAAATGGGAAGATTATCTGGGTGGTTCCAGTATAAACACAGGCTCCTTATAGGAGGAAGACAGGTGGTCAAAGAGGAGGATTGTGAAGATGGAAACAGAGTTAGACTGAGATTTGAAGACATTGCATTGCTGACTTTAAGGATGGAGGAAGGGTCCATGAGCCAAGAAATGCAGGCAGTCTCTAGAAACCGGAAGAGGCAATGGAATAGAAATGGATTCTCCTCTACAACCACCAGAAGGGATATAGCCCTACCAATTCCCTGATTTTAACCCAATAAGACCATATCGGAGTTCTGACTTGCAAAAGTGTAAGATAATAATCTGTGTTTGTTTGTTTTTCAGTTTTATTGAGATATAATTGACAGAGCATTGTATAAGATTAAGGTGTACAGCGTAGTGACATATACTGTGAACTGATTATCAAAATAAGTTAACATCCGGGGTGCCTGGGTGGCTCAGTCGGTTGGGTGTCCAACTTCGGCTATGGTCATGATCTCGCGGTTGGTGAGTTCCAGCCCTGCATCGGGCTCTTTGCTGACAGTTTAGAGCCTGGAGCCTGCTTCAGTCTCTGTCTCCCTCTCTCTGCTCCTCCCCGACCCATGCTCTGTCTCTCTCTCTCTCTCTCAAAAATAGATATAGCTTAAAAAATGTGTAAATAAGTTAACATCCATCATCTCATTTGGTTACCTAAATAAATAAATAAATAAATAAATAAATAAATAAAGGTTTTGTCCTTGTGATAAGAACTTTTAGAATTTACTCTTAGCAACTTTAATATATATATTAAACATTCATATATTTTTGACTATAAACTTTTAGAATTTACTCTTAGCAACTTTAATATATATATTGCATATATAAATATATATATATTTAACATTCATATATATTTTTTTTTATAAAAATTTTTTTTTCAACGTTTATTTATTTTTGGGACAGAGAGAGACAGAGCATGAACGGGGGAGGGGCAGAGAGAGAGGGAGACACAGAATCAGAAACAGTCTCCAGGCTCTGAGCCATCAGCCCAGAGCCTGACGCGGGGCTCGAACTCACGGACCGCGAGATCGTGACCTGGCTGAAGTCGGCCGCTCAACCGACTGTGCCACCCAGGCGCCCCAACATTCATATATTTTTGAGAGAGACAGAGTGTGAGCGGGGGAGGGGAGGAGAGAGATGGAGACACAGAATCCTAAGCAGGCTCCAGGCTCCAAGCTGTCAGCACAGAGCCCAACGCAGGGCTTGAACTCACAAACTGCGAGATCATGACCTGAGGCAAAGTTAGCTGCTTAACCAACTAAGCCACCCAGGCACCCCTCTTAGCAACTTTCAAATATACAGTCTAAGAGTGTTAACCATAGTCATCATGTTGTACATTACATCCCCAGTACTTATTTATCTTGTAACTGAGGTTTGTACCTTTTGATCACCCTCATCCAATTGCCCCCTTTCCCTACCCTCTGCCTCTAGTAACCACATTTCTGATCTCTTTTTCTGAGTTTGTTTTTTAAAGATTCCATATATAAGTGAGAACATATAATATTTGTCTTTCTCTGTCTGACTTATTGCACTTAGCATAGTGCCCTCAAGGTCCATCCATGTTGTCTCAAATGGCAGAATTTCCTCCTTTTTTATGACTAAAAAATATTCCATTGAATATATAGTCCACAACTTCTTTATGCATTCATCCACCAATGGCCACATAGGTTGTTTTTTGTGTCTTGACTATTGTAAATAATGCTGTAAATAATGTTAACAGGGGTTTACAGATATCTCTTTGTTAAGTGTCTTCATTTCCTTCAGGTAAATACCAAAAAGTGGAATTGCTGGATCATATGGTAGTTCTATTCTTAATTTTTTGGAAAAATGTCATACTGTTTTCTATAGTGGCTGAACCAGTTTGCAATCCCACCAACAGGTCACAAGGGCTCCCTTTTCTCCACAACCTAGCCAACACTTGTTCTTGTCTTTTTCATGATAGCCATTCTAATGGGTATGAGGTACTATCTCGCTGTGGTTTAGATTTGTATTTCCCTGATGATTAATCTTACGCACCTTTTCATATATCTGTTGGCCATTTGTGTATCTTCTTTGGAAAAATATCTATTCAGTCCTTCTGCTCATTCTTTAAATTTGATTGCTTTTTTGGTTTTGGGGTTTGTTTTTTTCTTTTTGCTATTGAGTTATAGAAGCTTTAATATGCTTTAGATATTAACATCTTAGCAGATGTATGACTTACAAGTATTTTTTCTCATTTCACAGGTTATATTTTCAT